GCATACTGTCGGGCTGCATCACAGCCTGGTACGGCAACTCCACCGCCGTGGGCCGCAAGGCGCTACAGAGGGTGGTACACTCAGCCAAATGCACCATTGAGTGCCCACTGACTGTCCTCCAGGATAGGCCAAAAAGATCATCAGGGACCCCAGCCACCCAAGCCATGGCCTGTTCTCCCCGCTTCCATGACTAAGACGCGGGCAGTACAGGAGCATCATGGCAAAAACTGGAAGAATCGCCAAAAGCTTCTATCCCCATACCATCAGGCTGCTGAACATCCCGTCCCCACGCACACACCCATGACCCTACACACCCTTCATAAATACAATATGCAAAAACACCACTGGAGATGCAACTCATCACTATAACTGTGCCTCTGCTTTAGCCATTTTGTTTGCCTCCCTGCTGTGCTGTCTGTCGGTCTCAGCATCGTCTCTGCTGTCACTCTGCTTCTTCTTGTTCTCCATCTGCCTGTCTGCTTAAGCCATATACGTTATAAAAGCCAAGCTAACGACAGGTTATATTGCAAATGATTGCCTGTCATATGTGTTCCCCTGCAACACCTACCCTAAGTGTTAATTATTATTACAGGGCTCCAGACTAACATTTCCCCCTGGTGTCAGTGATGTCACTGACTTTTACAGTTGGTGGCACCAGGACCCAAATCATGAGTAATCATCTTATAAAGTCATTCATAGTGCTTTATTAAAAAGTATAATACATAGACTACTGAGGTATTCAATAAATAAGTTGTTTCATCTAACACATCCATGCAGGAATGCATGATTCAAGCTATTTTGATCAACCTAATCCAGTGATTGTCATGAATTCTGGGTTGACAATTAGACCATAGTTTCTATGTTTTACTGTCAAAATAGGACTCCAGGATTTCCAGACTTATTTCAATTGAAATGAATTACTGACATTTATGTGCACTAACTAATATAATAGGCTAATTAATTTGGGGTTCAACACCTGAGGAAGTGGAAACTCAAAACACATGAACTAGATTGCTTACTCTAAATATAATACCCACTGCTAGACATGTATTCATCCAACAGTAAATATAATGTCCCCAATTCTTTTTTGCAGTTGTAGGCTATGACCCAGGAGGCCTATAGGTCTATGCCCTAGCAATGGCCGGTGCACATTTCTATATCTTGTTTGTAAAATAGTTGCTGTTGAGAAATAGAAATGACAGGAATCGTGAGGATAATGTTTGACCAAATCATGGTTTTAGCCGCCCAATAAATAGGACATTTTGAGTGAGGTGATAATGTAGAATGTGCTCTTCCTACATTTATAGGCACCCTTTCCGTTTTTTACGATCCATGATCTTGGCTGTCTAACTGATGACAGTCAAAGCAGGTCTCTTTACTGATGCCGCGTTTCACTTTGAATGTAAGTTTGCGTAACCTCAGCTCAGCCTATCAGAAAACAGGGTTGGCCCATCTTGGTAGGGGGGCTGGACGTTGCCCAATGATCAGCCCAAAGGCTCATTCTAGATTAGTATAACAGAAACATTTGGCCAAAATCTTATAATCTTAACAGGCCCATGGGCCGCCGGCCATGTCACCTATTTTCATTGTTTTCATTGTATATTAAAAAAAAAAAAAATTGTGTCAATTTCGACCAGCCCATCTGGCATTTGCCAGATGGCCAATCTGCCCCTGCTAGGCCTATTACCCTTTACATATAATGTGGGGCTCCCACTTCTTTTCTGAATCTCTGAGATCACTCATTCAAATTCTGATGTAGATATCATAATGACGTCCCCCTGAGTTCCTAAATCAGTCAATGACATTCTCTGTAGATTTGAAAGTGCCGGGCCTCCCGAGTGGCGCAGCGGTCTAAGGTGCTAGAGGCGTCACTACAGACCCGGGTTTGATCCCAGGCTGTGTCGCGACCGGGAGACCCATGAGGCGGCGCACAATTGGCCCAGCGTCGTCCGGGTTAGTGGAGGGTTTGGCCGGCCGGGATGTCCTTGTCCCATCGCGCTCTAGCAAGTCCTTGTGGCGGCCGGGTGCATGCACGCTGACTTCGGTCACCAGCTGTACGGCGTTTCCTCAGACACATTGGTGTGGCTGGCTTCCGGGTTAAGCGAGCAGTGTGTCAAGAAGCAGTGCGGCTTTGCGGGGTCGAGTTTCGGAGGACGCATGGCTCTCGACCTTCGCTTACCACGTCCGTACGGGAGTTGCAGCGATGGGACAAGACTGTCACTACCAATTGGATACCACGAAATTGGGGAGAAAAATAGGGTAAAAAGTACCAAATAAATAATAAAGATTTGAAAGTGCCTGGTGTAATGAAGCATCTGAAATGACTCCCCCTTCCCTTTCCCCTACACCTCCCCTCTGCCCTATCTTAATTCTCAGAGGGCCAGACGGTCTCCTCCCTCCATATAGACATAAAGCCGTTTCTAAATCCAGCAATCAGCCATCTACACTTAGGCCTTTATGAAAATGCTAATGCTTGCTAGACTGATCCCCTGCCAGATAAAGGCCCATTAAATTCTAATTGTTCCTTATTTACAATACTTTCAGATCACTATCAAGGTGTGAGTGGGTGGTGAGGTAGCTCAGTTGGTAGAGCATGGCACTTATAACGCCAGGGTTGTGGGTTCGATTCCCACGGGGGGCCAGTATGAAAAATGTATGCACTCACTAACTGTAAGTCGCTCTGGAAAATAGTGTCTGCTAAATGACTACAAAAAAATAAACACACCCCTGTTTCCAGTTTGCTGATGAAAGCTTTTTCCTCTCGTTTTGTTGTTTCCTGAGTTTGTTCCCTTTGAAATTATGCCTTCACTGAATACTGTTGGCCTGTATTCAGATCAGATTCTCAATAGATGTAGTAAGCCTACTTTCTTTGGCTTGGGTTTTTTCGCTTACTGTCTTTGTTTGAATTTACACTGGACAAGGATTTGTAAAAACAAAAACAAATACTTGACTACTCATGCTAATTTCTACATCTTCAAATTATACAATATTGAATTACATTGGTTGAATGTGTCTTACTCAAAAGTCCAGCCAAAACGTGTTTGTTTATCTCTCTAGGAGTTGAAGAAAGGGAAAGTTTACTTTTTTCTCTGTGGATCTGAATGTTTGCGTCTGAGTCATCTCTTTCTGTCATAATAAGCACTGAGATATGAATGGCTAAATCAGATCCCCACAGCATTGTGGTCTATTCATTAACAAATTATGAACCAAAGAATATGCTATGGAGTTCATGTGAACACATTTTTGCCAAAATTCTCTTTGTGTCTATAAATGTGAAGAGGGGAATCAATCCATGACGGTGAAGGTTCTCTGGGATTTACATTATTCTACAGCCAGAGCACTGTTAGCTGCTCTTCAGGGAGCTTCCCTCCTCAGTACACACACACACACACGTCCGGAAAACCGGTATACTCTCTCTCCCTGAGCCAGGCGGCCATGTTTTCATTTCCCTCTTCCAAAACAAACCAAGGGTTTTCTGCCTTTCGTTTTGGCTTGGGTTGGTTTGCTCTGTATCTCTTTTGAGATAATGCGACCAGTCAGACCACCACTGGTTATGGGTGTGACATTAAATCCATATCCTCAGATTTATGACCTTGCTCTGTGTTTGGCCTCAGTATGTTTTCAACACCATAAGGATTAGCTGACACCAACTCCTCTTCCAGGCTCCCAGTGTAGTCTCCTACAAACCTTGATTCTATGCAGAAAATATTAAAGTCATGGCCAATGTCTAAATCCTAACTAAGATGACACTGTGGCAAGGATGACCAAAGATGTTTGATTAAAGCTGGTTTCAGAGTCCAGGGTGGCTCCTCTGGACTCTGTCTGGACTCTGCTGAGTAGTTGTCCCCTGAGGGAACGTGCTAAACATAGCGGTAATGTAAACTACCACACATCATTGAGTGACTGACCTGGAGCAGGAAAGGGTGTGCTCTTCCTGTGTTTTAGGAAGACCCCTCAGGCTCTACTCCACTCATTGCCCTCTTCTCTTCCCTCTGTCTTCTGCCCACTTCACTGTCCAGCACCATGCCAGTGATGATGATAGGATAATTGGAGCCGCAATGAGGTAATGGCTACACTGTTCTGGTTCAGCCAGACTGTCTACTGGAAAAAATGTCATTGTCAGTTTAGCCATGGCTCTTAGTCCTGGTTCAGTGGTTCGTCTCAAAGTTCTCATTCCCTGGCTGTCTTTGTTTCTCCGTCATTGAATATTCTGTCCTTGTGATCTTTAGCCTGGTTGGCTGGTCCTCAGACTCACCTGTAAGACCACGTGTTGCTGGGGTTCGTACTATCCGGGATCCTTGGGACGTCCATACCCCCCATTGAAGTTGACATTTTAAAATGGTTAGGGTTAGGTAAGGGTTAAGGTTAGGGTAGGGGTTAGGGTTTAGGGTAGTGACGTTCCTAGGATCTCGGATAGCACTGACCATGTTGCTGATAGATCTGGTGAAACGGTTCCCAGTACTGGCTTTTTACGTTTACCACAGGGTTACAGCAGCTAGATGTCTGTCCCAGTCCTGGCTTTGCGTTTAGCTTACTGCAGAGTTGGATGGCTTAGCTAGATGTCTGTCCCAGTCCTGGCTTTACGTTTAGCTTACTGCAGGGTTAGCTAGATGTCTCTCTCAGTCCTGGCTTTGCGTTTAGCTTACTGCAGGGTTAGATGGGTTAGCTAGATGTCTGTCTACAGGAACAGGGCCATACAGCTGTGGAAACAACAGTGTGACTCCACTTAGGCTGTTTGCTTTCTTGTTTTCACATCCAATTTGCCCCACGGGGATCTCTCCATTTTGTGTGTAGTGTGTGTGTGTGTGTGTGTGTGTGTGTGTGTGTCTGTGTGTGTGTGCGTGATGTAGAGAATGTCACATGCGCACATGTTACAACAACAATTACACATGGTTACAATGTAATGTAACAGTACTGAAGTGGAACCTGTTAAAATGTTTTGGAAGTAGGGGTATAGCTTTGTGAGCAGTAAAACGTGTGTACTGGCTCTGCATCATGCTAAAACTGCTGAATGGGAGTTGTGGAAGGCATTTTTAAATTGATACCAGACCAAGAGCAGATCTTAACCAACTACAATGACAAAAAAGACTACAGATAGCATTAGCAAACCAATTCAGCTGATCTAGGTTGCAATGCCTCAACTGTTATGTTGCTGAGGGAGGTAGCAGGTCAGGTAGAGGTGACATAATTACATTTGAATGACAGCATGTTTCTTCTCTCTCCTAACAGTGTCAGTGTTGTGATCGGTGCTCCCAAGGCCAATACCAGCCAGCTCAACATCACAGAGGGCGGGTCTGTGTTCTACTGCCCATGGAGTCTGGGCCAATCAGAGTGCCACAACATTGAGTTTGACAATCAAGGTAAACCCGGTCATTGGCAGACTACGATCAGTGTGACTTCACTACTTTAGGTCCTGGTCATACCTCCTCACTGTCTGAACATGATTTGAACTTGATTTTAAGATTATGGATTTACTTAATCACAAATGTGCATGATGTGTGAAGATATGGTGTTTCAGCAGATTTGATGATCCCATAGTATAATGACAGCTGTCCTTCAGTCCCTCTCTTCCTTGCTTCCTGTAACACATGCCACGTATCTCCTTATGTAGTCCTGACTGGTGACTCAAGAGCTTGAGACTCTTGAGAACTGGAGATTTTAGAGGACGGTTACACACTATTAAGCTGGTCAAGCTGAGTTCCCGCTCGAAGCTCTTCTTAAAGCCACTGGTCCATGTCCACCATGCTATTGTGGCCGGCAGGTGATCATCTGTCACTGTTCTACTCCACTGATACTCCTTTGTTTGACACGTTGGTTCCTGGAAACTAGATGATCCGTTTGAGCATGTCATTAGTGTCTTTCTTTTTGAGACAAAAATAATAATGGGAGTGTTTTAGACAAGGGTATCTTCCCTTTAGGCTAGATACAATATGTGTTGTTCTGTCCCAACCCCAGGTGCTATAGGGAAATAAACGGCAAATAAACAGTTGAAACAAAAGAAATGTCACTATATACAATTATATACCCCCCCCCCCCCCCCCCCCCCCTTTGCCCTCAAACCAATACACCTGGCACCTCCTCCTACCATACCCCGTTCAAAGGCACTTAAATATTTTATCTTGCCCATTCACCCTCTGAATGGCACACATGCACAATCCATTTCTCAATTGTCTCAAGGCTTAAAAATCCTTCTTTAACCTGTCTCCTCCCCTTCATCTACACTGATTTGAAGTGGATTTAACAAGTGACATCAATAAGGGATCACCTGGTCAGTCTATTTTGTACACTCAGTGTATTTGGTCTAGCGGATATTGCCAACGAGCTTAATTTGAACCTGAATGTAAAAGGTAGAACTACAGTAAGAGTTCCTGGTTTATGGGTCAATGATCATGAGCTATTCAGAGAAGTGGAGCAGTGTTCCAGTGACTGGACAGCTGAAGGAGCCATTCGCCTTTAGAGGAATGAGGAAAGAGTTATCGGAGAGAACAATCTGCTGTGTATTAGATCTTCCTCTCTCTTCCTCTGATACGCACGCGTACACACACACCACTGTCCTATTGCATGTGTTACGCATGGATAGTGGTGTGTGTGTGTGTGTGTGTGTGTTTGTTTGTGTGTGCGCTCCCCAGTCAGTGCACCGGGGGACTGTTGGCTTGTTTCCTGGGAAATCAAAGAGAAGAGTGCTGAGAGCCAGGACTGATTTACTGGCTATAAGGCACATTAGGGGAGAAATATTCCACTGGAGCAGATTTCTGCTTTCACAAGCCCTGTTTAACAGCCGATTTCAAGGAATCCAACTGCAGGTCGCCTCTTTCTTCTGGTGTTTTCCTTCCCTTTTTTCTAGCAACAGATTAGAAAATGTGTTGCACATCCTTGGATGCTGGCTGAGGGCCATGAGTGTCACAGTGATGTAATGTGCAGCAGGCAGGCAAGCAGCAGGGCATTGGGGTGAAGGATAGTCCCTTGGGGTTTTAGACAATGAGTCCTTCATTTTACTTAATGGGCTTTGAAGGCACACTTTTGATTTGTGTGGAAGAGCCAATTCAGCCATCTTGGCCAGCATACAAGAACATAGCACCTCTGTCTGTATGACACAGGAAATATGTTTTCTTTTATTTGCTTATGACATGGCTAGAGCTCAGCTGACTGTGGGAGATATTATACTGCTAATATATTAGTATTGACCCTTTTTTGGAGAGGTGTGTCTGTTTGTGTGACATTATTCAGGGCCTTCCCTAAGTGTGGGTGAGGTCTTCCTTGAGCCTGACCGATGCCACAGGCCCACTTAATTAGAGCCTCCTAATTGGGTCAAAGTGGTCATGGGAGAGCCTCCTCCACCCCTCGCCTCCCTCTCTACTTCCCCTTCCACTAAGATAAGGAAAAACTGCCCAAGGATCTGAGAGAGAGAAAGAGGGAGGAAACCAGAGCCCTGTCTCTCCATCTCTCAATCTGACCCTCTTCCCCCTTCTCTCCGGCCAGTAACTCCCCCAGGGAGTGATGAGTGAATTTTGCCATTTTTCTTTGACCCCCATCCACCCTGCACTCTAACCCAGGATACAGGCTCTAAACTCCTCTAATGGGTCTCCTCTCGCACAGTTCAAAGGGGGGAGTGTCTGTGGACACACTCCAGACCTCACCCCACCCCATCCTACCCCTCTAGAGACCCCACCCACCCCTCTGCTGTCCTGTCCCAGGAGAGAGTGGGTTAGAGAGGCACTAGTCACAGCAGCAATCCTACCGAAGTCTACCCAAGTTCACTGAAAGGACATTACATGACATGTTATTGCGACATGCGTCTGCTGGATTTTTCTCTATCACTTGTTTGTATCAAACCCATGTTTGGCTTTGGGCATTTTTGCATGACTCCGGCTGACTTGTCCTGCCTGCAGTCACGCATAGCCTCTTAACCAACTGATCTTTTCATCTCTCCATCTGTCACACTGTATGAATGCCAATGTAGCATCTCTGACATGGACAATAAGAGCAGTTACAGACTCTGATCTCACAGCACAGCCACTCAGTGAGAAGTGAAGTTAGAGAACACCCCAAAGTCCATTTTTGCCTTTGAATGGAGTTATGACTGACAGTCTTGTACTTTGAACGTAGCGATTATGTCACTTACATAACTGTAGGGATGTCATGTTGAATATTATTTTCTGTTTTACCAGGACCAGGTGCTTAAGAAGAGTTTGACTACTATATTGTTCTGAAATGTGAATAAAATATGTCTTTCCCTGCTGATACTCATGGTTGCTGGGGTAGTGTGTCCCAAACACATATGCCTGTTTGGCTTGCATGTCTCCTCAGTGTCACCCCCCTCACTCTATCAAAACAGAGGCCCCTGAGTTATGAAAATAGAAGGAAAGTATGCTATAGGGAGAGGGACTGTGACGTGTGTAGTGCAGATTATTGCAGTGCAGATAAAGATATTTGTGTTAGGCATGTTATTTGTTGTATCGCTAAAGCATGTCTTTCCACACATGAAGGAGTGGCACACATGTATCACGGTAGGGAACAGGGGTGCTGTGTGCCCATGAGTAATGCTGGAGAGAAAGCCTGGTGATACGGTAAATATACTGTGATGTTATTAAAGCGTTAATCCCCACTGCTTTCCTACCGGGCAGGGGGAGACCAAATGCCCTGAGAGAGGGATAAAGAGAGGAGGGAGGGAGCGAGAAAGAGGGAGACTGAGAAAGAAAGCGAAATCGAGGGAGAGAGTAGACAGGAGCGCAAGAGACTATTAGAGAAAGAGGAGAGTGTGCCTGAGCAGGGATGACTGAGGTTGCTAGGAGGAAACAAAGCCAAAGCGTTTGTTTTCCTTGGACACAGTCCCCCCCTTTTTCTGTCTTTCCACCAAGACACAGAGCAGAGCAGGCCCTCACCCAGATCCAGAGATCTCAGAGCTGGCTGGGGCTAGGGCCAGGGTGGAGGCTGACGTACAGTCTGCTTTCCTCAAATCCACAGGTCACAATCTCTGGCTCTCACCACAAGGCCCCCTTCCCTGACAGATGGATAAGCAACATGCTTATGGTTTAGCTGTAGAGAATAGTGATGGGAAAAGAGAAGTGGGCTGGGGTGTGGTTGCTGGGTTTAGTGGTTCAGAATCAAAATAACGTTTGTTTGGGACAAGTTCCGCTGGATACATCTTGTTGTCTGAATTTCAAGTGTTTAGAACACTTGTTACAGGATGTTTCACGGTATGTGAACTGTATAAACCAATTTGTGTTTGGATTTTGTTTCTCACCATAGCAACACAGATGTTGCATCAGTCTTGCCAATAAAACATGCTGTTTGAACCTGATTCCACAGGCCATCTGTCTTGTCACCTGCTCCTGTCCTGTCAGAGAGACTGTGTCCTAAACGACACCTTAGTCCCTACATAGTGCACTACTCTGGTCAAAAGTAGTGCACTATATAGGAATAAGTTTGCCATTTGGTAAAGCTCTGGGTTACAGGCCAGGTGGCCAAACAGAGCCAGGGTCAGTGAGGTCACCCAGGGATGGCCAGAGAACTGTCACGAGTTGACATTTGAACAGTGAGGAACAAGTGCTATATTGCTGAATAAGGCTCTGGTGAGCATAAACGTTTTCCTCTAGATCCTAGATACATACAGCCCCTGAACATTGAATACCAAATACCTTCCAAGTTTTTCTCTATGTTCGTCTCTGGAATGTTCTTCATGAGAAACTTAGTGTGTGTTTAATGATGCAGTATGTAAGTTCTGTAGTGCCAGATGACCAGATGTTTGGATGACGTTGTCTGGAGCCTCCAGGAGAAGAACTACAGTGATTCATTAGGGGCTTTTTTTCAGTCGTCACTCATTCACTCTGTCTTGTCGTTTTCTGTTCCTCCCAGGGGACCGCACAGTCACTCTCAACACCACAGTCTACCAGGCTGAAGTCAAGTCCCACCAGTGGTTCGGCGCCACCGTCCGTTCCCACGGCGACACCATTCTGGTAAGATGACCCACACTGACTCGAAGACGGGGGTGGAGAAAGTCAGTTTACTTTCAACTTTGGTCTCTACAACTCAGAGTACCCTCAACTGTTATGATGACTGGCTTTCATGTCAAGGGGTTGTATATGTTCATTGTTCAAAGTTTGTCTTAAAGGTCTTTGTCTATCGGTTTGTTGTGACTGTTCCAATTTTCACCTCCAGTCTCTCTCTGAGGAGAAGTGTTTTGTGCTCCTGTGACTTCAAAGTTGAGACGCCTGAAGTATTTTTTTTGCTGATTGTGTGGGACGTAACCTGGATTTGGTTACATGGTTACTTTGCTCCAGATGTAACATTGACCTCTCTCTGGGTCTCCATCGAGTTCAACAGGGTGTTGCTGTAACTGAAATAAACCTCCCGCCTCTATGTTCCCCCCTCCTATAGGCCTGTGCCCCTCTGTACTCCTGGAGAACCAAACAAGACACGCCCCAGTCAGATACCACAGGAACCTGCTACCTCTCTGTCAAGAACTTCACCAAGTTTGTGGAATATGCTCCCTGTCGCACAGGTAATCCTTTTTTGTTGTGTGATACATTTTTGGACATTTCCTATAAAGACAACACAACATAAGCTCAAAAGAATATACCACTCACCACCCGCCTTCCCTTAGCGCTCCCAGTTAACAACACCACTCCATAAATAACTTCGGTATTCCTTCTATATCATCATCAATCTTTCTAATGCTCTTCTCTCTGCCAACCAACTACCCCACCACCCCACACTACAGGTGACTCCTGTGGCCTACCTCTGACACGGCAGCTGTCCACACAGCAGGCTATTAGACAGGGGTTAAGTGGAGTGCCCAAGGGCCACAACAGACGGGATGTTTATAGTCTCAAGTAACAATACTGAGTAACCACTTCCAGAGACATCACACACTAGCTGTAGAGAAATAATTTACCCCCCTTAGATGCAATCCATCATGTTAGCCCCATATTGACTAGTCTATCCCTACTGCTGTGGTAATGGCTGGCTGGCTCGGTTCTGTTCAGAATGCCCAGCTGAGTCATTGGACTCCACAGGTTCCAAAATATTTCAAAATTGTCTACATTATAAAGTATTGGATTAAATTATAAGGCCGAATTTATGGATCTTTCAAGTTGCTTTTTCAAATCCGAAAAATGACTGATTTATGAACCTCTACCTCTGTTTATTTCAGAATTCATTAACGAGGGGGGCCAGGGCTATTGTCAGGGGGGATTCAGTGCTGATTTCACCAAGGTAAGACTCCTGAACACTTCCTCTCAGTTCAGTACAAGAGCTTTATCAACTACTATGGACTAGAAACACATGATCTCATTCTGTCTTTCTCTCAGGATGGGAAAGTGGTGCTTGGAGGACCAGGCAGCTTTTTCTGGCAAGGTACACACCTCAACAACCCCTTGAGACAACAAGTTGTAGTATTCTGAAGTTATTTGTGTGAAACCTGAGAGGATCTTTCCATTCACTCCCTGCTTCCTGTGTCTCCTCAGGTCAGGTGATCTCAGCAGCCAAAGAGGAGATCATCAAGGCTTACTACCCAGGGTACTTCATGCAGTCTGTAGAGGGACAGATCCAGACCAAACAGGCTCAGCTCGAATATGACGACAGCTACCGCGGTAAGACGTTTCCTCTCGTAATTCAACCACTCCCTTTACTTTCCACACATGCTGCATCTATCCACCTTTTATCAAAGTACATGCCTTAACCCATAGATTACTCTTCAAGAGAAATGGAAGTCTATGGGTTCTGAATGCTTGATATCATATGACTAATGTCTGCTCTCTCTTGTGGTCTTGCAGGTTACTCTGTTGCGGTTGGGGAATTCAGTGGAGATGAGGTGGAAGGTAAGAGATCTGTACCACAGACCTTCACAGGCCTGCACAACAGAGCACCATTAAAGATATAGAATGTTTACTATAAGATTCTGTCCCGCTCCTATGCTGGAAAGACTGCAATCTCAGTCATTCTCAGGAGTTCCAGACAGCTGTGAACTTTGTGATATTACCCTTCCTTAATCTTCCCTTTTTCTGTTTTCCCCCTGTCTGTGCACCTCTCAGATTTTGTGGCTGGGGTCCCAAAAGGAGTCATGCTGTACGGTTTGGTAAGAACCTCATCACCACTCTCATTTTGAGAGGAGAAAGGGAGGACTATAGGCTTGGGGGAGAAATAGAGCATGAGAGAATGAAAGTAGCCATAGCTGTGTTTAGTGAAAGTAGAAGTGATGAATACAATAACACAGGCCTACTCTATACAAACGGTATGTTGGACCTCAGGGATTTTGACCATATGTTCTCTCTGTGTGTGTGTGTGTCTGCGCTCTGCAGGTGTATATTTTAAATGGCACTGATCTGAAGTCCATGCTCAACTACACTGGTGAACAGGTGAGCATTCAAACCTCCCAGCTCTAACTCATTAGGGCTATAACACGCACACATAACCCATTGGTTTTAACTCAGGTGCGTTTTTTCACACGACTCTGTGGTTCCATAACTAGCTGTTTCTCGTGGCAACTCTTAATCTGTTGAGACTGTGTGTACTGGAACACTGATGATATAAGTATAATCATTTCCTTTACAAGTTTCTGTTAACTGGGTTTCAAGCCCTCTGTGGTTTGCTGTAAAACATCATTATTGAAGTAAAATTGCAGAAGCAATTTTCCCCAAATGAGAAGCATGATTCTTCCTGCGAATGGAATGGAAATAGCGTGAGCCCCTTTTTTAATGGTGCTGATTGGTTCAGCTGAATAAATAAAATCATAAGAGTGTATTTTCTAACCCTGGGAGTCTGGGAATTAAGCTGTTTCTGTGTCTTTGTTACTTCAGATGAAAATGTGTTATACAGACATGACAAATAAGACTAACAGCTTCAAGTTAGACCAAGCAAGAACCATCACTTTTCATTGACCATTTCTTCTCTCTTAGTAGTCTCTTCTACTGGATCTCTCTTAATTGAAGTAGATTCACTGTTATTTAGAAGTCCCTTTGCTTAAAAGCAGCTTTTCTATTTTGAGCCTTTTTGAACCCAGATTCATAGTGATGTTCTAGAGTTGTAACATGATGTACTCTGTTTTCTCAGATGGGCTCCTATTTTGGGTATGCTGTGGCCACAGCCGACATCAATAACGACGGGTAAATACAGTCTAACAGTACAGTCTAAACATACAGTCTAACAGTGCAGTCTAACAGGACATTCTAACGAGACATTCTCACCATATATTCTCACCCATGAGTTGGGTGGTGGCAAAATTGGATTTGTCCAGTAATGTTATGGGATTTTTAAAAATCAATAATGACGGGTGAGTAGGAGTCAGTTCTCACACAACATTCACACCATAAGTTCTCACCCTTTTTTAATGAGCTTGGTGGTGGTTGAGATTGGATTGGATTTGACCAATGACACATTTTATGGGAAACTCCAGTCGTCTGTGTCAGAAAGGCTACTAGGGTTGCACAATTCTGGAAACTCATACATTTCCCAGTTTTTCCAACCTGGATTTCGTGAATGTTTACAGAATTTTGCCACCCTAGTCTGTACGCTATATATGTCTGTAACCATGTGTGTTCCTCCCTCCTCCCCTCAGCATGGCTGACCTGTTGGTGGGAGCGCCCATGTATATGACCCGGGGGTCAGACAGTCGCCTGGAGGAGGTGGGCCGTATGTACGTCTATCTGCAGCGTGGACCCTTGGATCTGGAGCCAACCCTCAACCTGACCGGAACCCAGGTGTTCGGGAGGTTTGGTAGCACCATCGCCCCTCTGGGAGATCTCAACCAGGACGGATACAATGGTGAGAGATGGAGGGGTGGTAGTAATGGGAGTTTAAGGGGGAGAAGAAAAGGATGTTTAACAAGCATTTTTTTCGTGTGTCACAATCTTGGTTTTGAGAGTCTACTACATGTAGTTTTGTTGGTCACATGCTTTTCATTCAAAGTCCTAGTAGTCTGTAAAGTTCTGCGTGATCTCACGGTCTTCTCCTGCTCTCTTCTCTGATTGGTAGACGTGGCCATCAGCTGTCCATTTGGTGGAGACAACCAGCAGGGATTGGTTCTCATCTACAACGGATTTGCTGGTGGGCTCAGGGACACGCCCTCTCAGGTCATAGCTGGCCAATGGGCTTCAGGCACTGTGCCCGCCAGCTTTGGATTTGCCCTCCGAGGGGCTAAAGACCTGGACATGAATGGTTACCCAGGTGAGTGACAAGACTAGTATGTTTTGAAGACCTCTCATGCTACTGAGTTTGCATATTATCAACTTTATACTTGTTGTTTACTTGTAGTCCATGAACTTGATGAAATGTATTTTCTTGACAGATCTTATTGTTGGTGCTTTTGGAGTTGACAAGGCAGTCCTGTACAGGTAATACTCACTCATAACCTCCTATATCTGTCAATCTATTGAGTGATGTCTAATATCATTTGTTAACCTGGGTTCTGTTCCCATCTATTGTACCACAGATCCCGGCCCATCGTCAACACCAGTGCCTCCCTGACTGTCTACCCTACCATGATCAACCCTGAGGAGAAGATTTGTTCAGTGAACAACGGCAACACCACCATACCTGTCTCCTGGTAAGTACTGATTCATACCTGTCTCCTGGTAAGTTCTGCATCAGACCTGTCTCTTGTTGAGTACTTGTCTAGTCTGGGCCTTTATTCTGGGCTTGTATGTAAAGCTTCTCAGTGCAGGAGTGCTGATCTAGGATCAGGTCCCCCCTTTCCATGTGCTGTCGCTTATTCATTATGATCTAAATCGCAAAACTGATCCTAGATCAGCACTCATACCCTGAAACTCTTTATGAATAAGGGCCCAGACATAATTTGCTGAACGTGTTGTCTAACTGCTGCTTGTTTTACACTTGGCACAACACCAACAAGAAGGAGATCCTCAACACTGGCACTCAGTTGTACTTAGACAGGAAGACCCATTGAGGACTATTTATTTGGGAGACAGACAGTCTTATCTGGTGGTGGTGACCTGTTATCACAGCAACCTCATAACAGATTATGTTTCTTCGAAAGGAGAAAGTCAAATAAAATGCTGAATAAGAGCATTGTGGATGTCAGCCATTTCCCCCTTCCATTAGAATGTGCTACATGGTATTCCCCATCCAATGGGAGAGGAAACAGAACAGAACAGGGGCTGCTCTGATCTCTGGCTGTGCTGCTCAACATGCTTGACACTGTGCTCGTGTGTCTGCTGCCCCCCCCAGTCCCCAGATCCATAAAGGAAACTGTTGTATACACGTCTTGATTACGCTGCGTTGCCTGGTGATGGGGAGGGATGTAGGTGGGGGTGGAGGGAAGGAGGGGAGGGAGGGGTCAGGAGGTTTGGCAGTGGCTTTTGAATGAGATATTGTTTGGTGGTGGAACACAGCTGGGAAACATCAGGATGTGGAGACTCGTGCGCATGCACACACTCAAACACAAAAAAAACTAGCGACACAGGATCCCAATATAGTGATTTCTCCTAGATATAGACACCCTCTGTCTGTCTCTTTCATTCTCCTTTAAATGTTTTCCTTCCTTTGTTCTGTCTACACTGTCGGTTTCGCGCCCTCTTTTTCTCTTGTCCCCTTGATCCCTTTCCCTCGCTCCCTCCCTCTTTCTTTCCAGTCAGTGTGAGTTTGGTCATAGGGCTTGGGGTTTGGGGTTTGGGTTGCTGTAGCTCATGTCACGGGAGAGAGCGAGAGCCCCTGGCCCGTAAAGACACAGACACTGACTGTCTGTCCTGCCTGGGGGGCTACATGAGATGACGCTCAATTTCATCCTCTTAAACTCTGGGGATGGGGCTTGGGGGGCACACCATGCTATTATCTTGGCTGGCTATAGCAGGCAGATGCCTTTCCCAACATTACCCATTGCTCCATATTATACAGTGATACCCATTCTGCTGCTTTTTTGTAATGTAAGAAAACTGAAGAGTTAGTGGATGTGAAGAGAGTGAATGAGTGGGATGTCTGTGTGTGGGACTTTGTGCCATGAATGCATATGCTTCCCTCATCATCATGTCTCTGTTATGTCTCTCCTCTGTTCTAAACAGTGTCAACCTGAGTTTCTGCCTCTCTGCCAATGGGAAGTACCTCCCAGACAACCTTGGTGAGCCAACTGTCCACATCTGCTCCAGATTACATACAATACCATATTTCAAACACTCATTTGTACACGAATATCAATTTATATTATTGCATGTATGTTGAATGACTTTGTCGTTGCTCTGTATTGGGTTGTGACATAGATTAAGAGCAGTGTCAGTGTTCCAGAGTCAACATATCTTCTCTGATCCACTTTTAATGAGTTCCAATCAAAGCACTAGGCCCCTCTTACGCAACCTCAGCAATTATTCCACTAATTACCCCTCTATGCATATGGTTACTCTGCTATGTATGCCATGTGGTAAACTAACTACATAGTCTGGATTCTCTATTTGCTTGAGAGCTTAGTGGTTAAGAGCGTTGTGCCAGTAACCGAAAGGTCGCTGGTTCTAATCCCCGAGCCGACTAGGTGAAAAATCTGTCGATGTGCCCTTGAGCAAGGCACTTAACCCTAATTGCTCCTGTAAGTCGCTCTGGATAAGAGCGTCTGCTAAATGACAGAAGAAGAAAAAGAGTATGCAAGTGTCTGATTGATGGTGTGTAAAACAATGGCACATTCATGGTTGTGTGTTCTGTCCTGTGTGTGTGTGTGTGTGTGTTCCTTGGTGCGTGTGCGTGTGTGTGTGTGTGTGTGTGTTACAGACTTCCAGGTAGAGGTGCAGTTAGACCGTCTGAAACACAAGCAGAAGGGAGGGGTGAAGAGGGCTCTGTTTCTAGATTCCCAGCAGACAGTGCTCACGAGGAGTGTGAGGGTACAGAACGGAGAGCGTGTGTGTCACGACACCAAGATCTATCTAAGGGTAAGTCTCAGATGTACTTCTTTCTTTCTTTCTTTCTTTCTTTCTTTCTTTCTTTCTTTCTTTCTTTCTTTCTTTCTTTCTTTCTTTCTTTCTTTCTTTCTTTCTTTCTTTCTTTCTTTCTTTCTTTCTTTCTTTCTTTCTTTCTTTCTTTCTTTCTTTCTTTCTTTCTTTCTTTCTTTCTTTCTTTCTTTCTTTCTAATGAACCCTGTCTGTCTATCTGACTCCAGGATGATAAGGAGTTTAGAGATAAGCTCTCCTCCATCTACATCTCCCTCAACTTCAGTCTGGATCCTCAGGCAGCGTTCGACTCCCACGGCCTCAGACCCATCCTCAACTACCAGTCCACCGAGCTCATCGAGCAGAAGGTACTTCAATACACCCACCCTCTGTCTGACTCTGGCCCCCCCAGCACTGCACTCCTAACTCTGGAGGGCGACTCAATGTTAACAGGCCCCGTATATCTACTGAGGTGGAGCACTGCACACGTTTTAATGAACAAGACGTAGTGAAAGACATGGCTGGAAATCCATTCACTCACTCAGAGCTGATGGTAATGTTTTCGCCTTTACCAGACCTCCACCTCCCCTTCCTTCTCTTCCCCACACCCCCTCAGAGAGACTCAGGCTGCTCTCCTTTTTGATTTCCAAACCGCTCTGCTGGGAAGGGGTCCAGAGGGTCTGGAAAGCAGTTTTCAACAAGAGAAATGTGAGGCGTGTGTGTATGGTACAGTGGAGATAGTGTTGGAAAGCGTTTGACTGCCCCTCCAGGAATAGCTGCTTTCAGCCTGGCTGGGCTGTGTAACGGTTCATAGGAGTCGTGTTCCGACCGAGGGGTGCACAGTAAGACCCCGACACACAGGGTTAATGGATATTTCTGGGTGGGGCCGCTGGGGCACTTTGCTCGCAGCACACAGGCCATGTGCCATCTGGTGTAGATTTGTCTGTATTTTGCCAGTTTTATCCTGGCAGGGAGAGAGAGACGTGAGCAGGACTCAACGTGTGGGCTGCCTGCCTTCAGCTGTTTTGTGCTGCACCCTATGTGAGCTCAGCAATAACCACTGGATTGGATTAGAGTGTTTTGGGAAAGGCCCTGGCCGAGGTTGCAGTTTCCCCCCCCCCCCTTCTCTCTTGGAGCAGGGCAGTACTGAACCCTGTCATTGGTGTTCCCTTGTCGTATCAAAGCTGCTGAGGTTTCATCACTACAACCAAGTGCTAAATACTGAACCCGGATAAAGCTATGTTGTAGTACTGAAACTGAACTTCAGAGAACACATTTGATTAATCATTGATACCCAGTGTGAATGTAACAGCATGTAGCTGAGTAGACTGGTGACTACTCACTACAGCCTGGATTTAATCAGATACATGATACCTTATTATGGATTCCTCCTCGTTTGTACTGGGCTGGCTGTTGAAGCATAGGCTACATACAGGTAACTGCCAAAATAAAGGAAACACCAACCTGCTTTCAATATACTTTGTATCCCTCATTTACTGAAGTGTTTCCTTTATTTTGGCAGTTACATGTACATGCTGTCTCACCCCAGTTCTCACACCCTCTGGTTGCTGAGTGAGAGCTCACCGATGCCTCTCTGCGTAGTTTCATCCTTTCTCTATAATGTGCTCCGCATGTTGCCGTGAAGCCCAAGCAATGGGAACATAATAATAATAATAATGGATCCACTCTGAGAGTAAAGATGGAAGCTCCCAAGAGTGAATGCCTGATACATTCCACACACACGTGATTTATTTTCTGATGTTGCAGACTCATGGTCCTTGCCTCTGCCATACCTGCTGTACGATTTTCGCTGATATTCATCAGGTATATTTTTGACACAGTTATTGAGTGAAACTGTATACTGCACATGGTACCCTCAATACACTGACTACACGCTGTTCATCTGGCTTCCCTTTGCCAGTTGTTGTTTAACGGCAGCCAGGATAGGAACCTAAATAGCTTTTACCCTGATTGATTGAGTCTGTATATGTGCCAGGCAGCACACACTGAAGGGGCAGAGTGAGCTGGTGGTTACTATGGTTACCCTGGTGTCCTTAAATTAGAAAGCCTGGCTGTGTAATGACAGGGGAGGCACTGCGCTGCGCTCTCTTTCTAATCTACTTCTATTTATTATCTTTGTTGTCATCTAAATCATCATGATCATCACACTGTGATGGAATCACACGGGGAAACTATTACCTACATCAAGCCTGGACTTTTCCCCGCTACACAAACACGTTCAGTGGTTATTGGTCACCCTTTCCTGCTTAGTTCATGTCTTTCTAGTATTTCCACCATTACCCCCCCCCCCCCCCCCCCCCCCCCCTTCTGGTTCATGTATATCCTAAATGTGGAGCGCTGGGTGGCGTCGCGTGTGGCTAGAGTGTGGTCTGCTGCAGAGCACTGTGATGTGGACGTCAGTGTGCAGCGCTGGTGGATTTGTGGACAGAGAGCTGCTGATCTCCCCAGAGAGGCCCTCCAGGCGTATCACTTCTCCTTCTTTTCCACCTGTCTCTGGGCTATGAGTGGAGCTGCTCCTGCCTCCTGAGCCACCCATCCCCTCTCTGAAGGGAAGTCAGACATTCTATGATGGAGGTGGTTTTGTCGTCATACACACAGTCAGACGGCTTCTCCTGCCTTCCCCTGCCTTCTTATCGACCCATTTCACTCTGAAAGGAAGTGAAGTCAGACTTGGGGCTGAATTAGGGTTGTTTGTGTCATCACACAGTCATATTCACCAACCTCCCCCAGAAGATAACAGCATTAACAGGGTTATTATTACAGGTGTCTGGTCTGTAGTGATGACACTTTACTCAGGGGACGGTGGGTGGTTGGGGGTTGGACTGGAATGTATTAGTCATTATGGTCTGCACGACATGTCCCGTCTCGTTACAGTTACTCTATTGTGTGTTTACCACCAAATCAAAGTGTCTAATTCTGAATGTTAAGTCTAGTTGAAAGAAGTGTAGGCCTCATTTTAATGGGAACTGTGAATCCTGTATAAGTTCTGTCACTCTTTAACTTGTTCCTCTTGTCCTCTCCTGTTCTAGGCCCAGATTCTGCTGGACTGTGGAGAAGACAACATCTGTGTTCCTGACTTAAAGCTGGCGGTGCACGGGTGAGTTAGTCCTAAAGCTCATGAAAGCCACTCGATCAGGAGAATATAGCTACTATGTATAATGAACGATTGAACTTTTCACCCCACTATGCAGATGAGTTGGCCTTGTTGTTCTGATCTGATGGATAAATAAAGCTGTGTCGTGCTCCACCTGTTTGTTTAGTTTAGCTAGCAGAGCAGACCTGTCTGTTAATAGACCCACAATGCTCCACCAGCCGAGGTTACTACTCTGCTTTGGAAACAGGAAGAAGCGCTGGTCCCTGGCCTAGGTGCAATGATTGGCTGTCAGGCAGCTGGGGGAAAGAGACACGAGAGATGAAAGGGATTTGTTTGGAACGTATGGAGAGGGAGTTGTGTGTGTGCCAACCAGTTCTAACCTCCCTCCATCAGCTTCTGTTCAAGTAGTATTCAGAGCATCGCCACACTTTGATTTTGAGAAATCTATGGGCATTTCTCTCCAAAATAACATGCCCCTTCATCTCGCTCTCTTTCTGCCCTCTCATTTTTATATTTGTTGTGCGCTAATTCCATTTCTCTATTGTAAAAGTCTTCTATCACATACAATGAGTGTACAAAACATTATGAACACCTGCTCTTTCCATGACATAGACTGACCAGGTGAATCCAGGTGAAAGCTATGATCCCTTATTGATGTCACTTCAATCAGTGTAGATGAAGGGGAGGAGACAGGTTAAAAGAAGGATTTTTAAGCCTTGAGACAACTGAGACATGGATTGTTTGTGTGTGCCATTCAGAGGGTGAATGAGCAAGACAAAATATTGAAGTGCCTTTGAACGGGGTATGGTACGCTGCTGGGTTTTCACGCTCAACAGTTTCCTGTGTGTATCAACTTAATATTAGGAAGGTGTTTTACACTCAGTGTATACAACAATATTGTTTTTCTGTTTATTTGTCTGTACGTACATTCAAGCCAGACTAAAGTTTAAATAAGGGATTTCAGTTGAAGAAAAATCATAATGCATGAACTACTTGCCTCTGGCTGTCTGGCAGTCAGATGATAGTGCTGCATTAATTTAAATGCTTTGTATAATAGTAGCTTGGGGCAAGGGGTCAATTATGGAATTCCCAGCATTGTATCCATCAAAATATCCTTCATTCCTTTGTTTTATATTTCTACTGTTATCCTGCCAAGGCACACAACCTGTTCCACCAATGCCCCTTAGGAGAGGTTTTAGGTTTTCGTGGGTTCTTCCAATGTAGCCCTTTGTTTTCTTTAAAGAGTGTGATGGCTGTTGGAGTCTGACTAGGCTGGCTGGCTGGCTGGCTGGCTGGTTGGCTGGTTGGCTGGCCAGCAGAAGATCAGTGTTTGAAATATGGTCCATGTTGCTTTCTCTCTCTGCCTGGTTTTATTTCAGCTCTAATTAGAAGCATCTGTGTGGCCCTCATATGGAATTCCTCTTTCATTGTGTTCAGTGAGCGAGCGAGAGAATTGGAGGAAGAAATTTAAGGAGAGATGAAGGGAGGGAAAGAGTGGAAGGGGGAGGTGTTTTACAGTCCTATTCTGTGCTCTATCGCATGTATGACTTTGTTGCTACATTGGAAAAGTTGTGTGTGTGAGGGGGATGCAGGGGAAGGGGAGAGGGAGTTTCCTGAGATGAATCTAAGTGATGTGTTTTGGGCTGTGTCCCGTTTCGACTCCCGGCTCTAAATCGGCCTGATGTGTAGAGCACAAAGCATGAACAGGGAGAAAAAGAACAGAAATATCAGGCTATAGCAACAGAACATGCAAGTATGTTAGTGGCCAGACATTGCTATTAATGCACTGTGCACAAAACCTTCACAGTTTTCTCTTGTATAAGGGCACCCTCTCCCACCTCTTCCAGTGCTTATTTACCCTCGGAGACCCGACACCTCTTGACCTGACCTCTGACCTGATTAGTAATCCATTTCTGGTTTTGTTGGGCCCTCAGGGACCGGAAGGAAGCGTACCTAGGTGACGACAACTCACTGACCTTGACTTTCAACGCTCGGAACGAGGGTGAAGGAGGGGCCTACGAGGCTGAGCTGTACGTGGTGCTGCCTCCTGAAGCGGACTACAGCGGTATAGCCCGCAATAACGAGGTGAGAGGAACTACTAAACATTCACCTGAACCCAACATTACTATTAGATGTGGAGTAATGTAAGGGTCCCAGTCTATTGGCTCATAAGACTTGTGATGATAGATCTATAAGGAACAGGACTGTTATGGAAGTTACGAAAACTCCAAATGGAACCAAATGTTTGTTCTTGGTGTTTGAGTATACACAGGAGTAGATCTGTATCTATGATTCTTCTTTGTTGTGTTCTAACCAATGATAAACACATATGAATGTATATGGTTCTAAACCAGCACTCTGTTCTCTCCTCGCTCTCGGTCTCTCTTGGTCTCTCACTCTCCCCTCCCTCTCTCTTCTCTCTCTCCCAGAGCCTGACCCAGCTGACCTGTAGCTACGAGACAGAGAACCAGACCCGCTACCTCAGCTGTGACCTGGGCAACCCGATGAAGTCTGGCACCAGCGTAAGTCAAGGATTGTTGTTCTGCTTGTCCTTTTGAAGAGGATTGGTCATGAGTAGGGCCAGGAGTATTTCCTGGTTAGGTCACATGGGTGGAAAACAGGAGCAGCTCTGGCTCTTGACAAATCTTGAAAAATCATTGATGTTTGTTTTGGCCATCTTGGTCTTCATCAGAATGAGAATGAGGTCACATGGACCTAAAAATAAACTTCTGGCCTGGTCCTACTCAAAACCTTTCTGACGAGCATTGGTTATAAATGGGGTGAGCAGTTTTTCCTGGTTAGTTCACATGGTCATGGCTCTACTCGTAAGCAATACTCTTCATTGGTTATGATGAGTGTTGATGGCTGGTGGAATAGCTAGTCTAGTCTTCTGAGATCTGTCTAGTGGTAGAAAAGTCATTGGAGCTAGCACAAAATCAATGTTTTCCTAGTGTGTGAAGGAAGGGATTGTGTGCTGTCCAGGGGTTGAGTGGTAGAGAACTGAACTGGACAGGAAAGACTCTCTTTTCATGTCACAGCAGTGTTCAGAGAGGAAGTTCCTGTCCGGGTAGCAAGAAGCTGGTTTACGTCTCTGCTCTGAGCAGAGGTTTCCTCCTAATGGCCTGCTGTTCCTGGGCTAATGTGTCTGACTGCAGAGGAAGGACTGTAAAGTGGACGTTGGTGGAGAGCTTAAGAAGGTTTTTCTGATAGAATGGTTGTATTCAAAGTGTAAACTAAAGTTGTTCAATTTTAGTATGCAACAAATATATAGTATAGATCCTGCCATTGTAGTACTCAATGCACTGATGATACTGTACTTTGCCTAGTTTGTCTCTGCAGTGCATTAGTTATAATTCATAATGGCATAGATACAGACAGGCATTATGGATGAATATATTCATTGAGCCAGGGAGAAACCAGAATGTTTATGAGCAGTATTTTAAATTTGTTTTTACAGTGAACATTTGCAGTCCGATTCACACTACACAGTTAAACAGTAAAAGCTCTGAACTCGCTGGCTTCCTGATTGCAATTACTGTGTGGTACGTGGGTGCGGTTTGGATGGGAAATAAAAGGGGCATGAAATTCCAATTGAAGTAAAGGGCAGCAGAACAGAATACTGTAAGCAGGAACTCCCAGACCGTCTGGACCTGCAGGCCCAGGTGTATTACAGCTGTGTATGTGCCAGGCAGACAGACAGACAGGGAGTATAGACTGATTGACTGATTGACCCCTGAAGACAACAGAACAGTTGGGAGGAGAGAGAAAGAGAGGAGAGGATTGTTAGCCTGGTGGGGACTCTGGTCCCCTGGTATGCTGTAATTATTGTATAACAGAGAGTCTACTCACTGTCTCTGTACTGTATGTGTTAAAAAAGTATTGAAATAGGGCACAGGTTTCCTGGTGCCCTTACAAGGTTAGCTTTAGATATGTTGGTTGCATCATCACCCTTAGCCATTTGTAACTCTCTTGCCTCACATCATGTTGGCATCAACCCCTTGTCCCTGACCACATTGCTTCTCCTCATCTGCAGCTGTGGGCAGGCCTGCGCTTCACTGTGCCACGACTGAAGGACACACGCAAGACGGTTCAGTTTGAACTGCAGATCCGCAGGTATGACTCGGTTACATCACCTCTCTAGGCATATGTTTAAACTGGGACTATAACTGGACATGTGTTATGTGTCATTGACAAAATAATTGAAGGCTAAACTTGTAGGATATAGACCATCACAAATACCACAGTACTCCTATATCACCATATAGTTGCAGAGGCGTGTTTTTGTGTGTTTTCTCTAATTCATCACCCTCTCTTCCTCTCTCGGTTTCTCTCCACAGTAAAAATGAGAATAATTCCCACAGCGAGGTGGCTCCCTACAAGTTGGAGGTGGTTGTCCAGGCCGATGTTATTTTACAGGGGTGAGTCCAGAGGAATCTCTGTTAGATTTCCCCCCACCAGAGCAAAAACCTTTTGGAACTCCATAAAAGTCATTTTCTTTTTCCCCACACAGTCTCACGCTTTCTTTTCCCTCTCTTTTAAAGAGTCTCCCGGCCAGACAAGGTCTTCTTCCCTTCCCCCAACTGGAAGGTGTCCAAGAGCCCCCAGGTGGAGCAGGACATCGGGCCTGCAGTCCAACACGTCTATGAGGTAAGGAGACAGAGGGTTGAGATTAGGGTTAGGTTAGGAAGATCCACTGGAACATTCAATGCATAGATAAAGGGGAATGCAGCAAAACCGTGAGTGGACATTCCCTTTTTTCAATGTAAGCAGCCAGAGCCAGAGGCCCTCCAGGGGGCTAGCTGCTAGCTGGTTGGACAGACTCATCAGGATGTAGAATGGCAGAGGGTTCTATACAGCAGACTCTGGCCTTAAGCAGGTCTGTAGCAGCAGACAGTACTTCCCAGACACTAACCTTTGTGTAGAAGCAGACCAGGCCAGACTACTTCCTGGTCAAAGAAGAAAGAGAAAAGACACATTCCAAGAAGCACAGGGGTTTGTTCTGAGCTTTACATCATTACAGGTCTAACTCAATTTGTAAGGACAACCTAGTCTCCCGTGACAGACATAACACCGGACCACCTTTCACATAGCAGAAAGAAAAACAGTGCTCAAGTTTAGATGACATCACACCAACATGCCATTTCCTGGAAGTCTGGGTCAACCAGAACGGGTTAATTTTTAGCAGAGACTAGCTGGGGGGTTTATGTGCTTGTAAAATTATTTTAACTAATTCCTCTCTTTTTCCGTCTTTCCTTCCGTCTCTCTCTCCCTTTCTCCTCGTTCTCTCCCCTTTGTCAGCTGGTGAACAAAGGCCCCAGTGGTATTAGCCACACAGTGCTTCAGCTCAGCTGTCCTCTCAGTGTTCAGGGACAGGGTCTCCTCTACCCCCTGGAGATCTCTACTGAGGGGCCCCTCAACTGCACCACCAACCACTCCATCAACTACCTGCAGCTCAAGGTGAGCAATCAATTACTGGAATGTTAATGTTAAAAGTTTGTTTACACTTTTGTAAGGGTATAGCAAGTCTTGAACTCATTTACACACACACACCAACCAACCCTCCCCTCCCTTCTCAGGGTCACATGAGGCTCACAGACATCTGTGTGAGGCTAGAACACTTCAGAGAGACGGGCACTGTGAATATGTCCCACAGGTTCTAATTCAGTGTGTGATTAACAGTCTCTACACCCACCTCCACCCTCCCAGCTCAGCCAGCCCTAACCAGCCCCACCCAGGACACCAGCCCCACTATCACTTTGATCTTTCTGCACTTCCCTCAGCTCAGCACAGCTTGATGAACCTCTTCTGTACCAATACACTCACTCAACTTCTAACATTAGGTCCCCTTCTGATGGGTTTAAGCCTCAGTTTTTCATGGGAACAGATGACTCTTGGGTAGTCACATGTTTGTGTTTAGAACTTCTAACTGGCCAGATGCTGAGATGAGCCCGAAGTGGTTTTCCTTGCGAACTACAGTGTGTTTCTATGGGAAACCATGTGAATGAGACCTCATATTCACTAGGTTAATGATGAGGATAACGTCACTCCCTATATTGACAGAGGGTGGTGTCCTCTTCTCTCATGGGTGAGGTCTCTGTCTGTAATGTATTGACCTAATGGGTGGTGTGTGTTCTTTCCCTCTGTCTCCTTAGCTCCAGCAGTCGTCCACAGAGCAGCCTCCCCTACTTGTGCCCAGCCAGGATCACCACATCGAGAGGAGAGAAGTCCACAGAGACCAGCTGGCTGAGCACACTAACCTGGTGAGGCCCTTAGCAAGGACAGATGGAGAGAGGGAGAGAGTTATTGTAACAGTATACTATTAGTCTGATCACCCTAATGCAACTGGCGTTTTGAGTGATGAGTAGAGCTTGTTGTAGCCTCTGGTGGTATTTCTGGCAGGCTATTTCATGTTGTCAAATAGTTAAAATAAACAGGACAAGTGGATGGAAGAGACTAGGGACTTTCCTTTGGAATATAGATGAGATGGAGGGTTGAACCTCTGCCTCTCTACTCCTCTGAGTTGCCTGAAGCCATGGCATGTATTGATCTGAGACAGTGGCTCTGGCCCTGCCCTTGGAAAGCCTCCTGGGATTGACTAATGAGGTTATAATGTAATTGAGAGGGAGGGGTCAGAGGGCGTGGGGTATTGGTGGTCCCGCTGTGGTGATTGATTAATATTAAAGGGCTGCAGGGAGACGGCGGGGGGGGGCGGAGCTGGGGCAGTAGGGACATGTGAATAGGGGGATCTGTGGGACCAGGGGCATGATGCGCTGGTTAGTTCACAGACCGCCCTCTAATTTTCCACTCCGTAGTGTTGTTAGTGTGAGTGCCCCTGGCTCACACTGTCTCTATTGATCCAACCAGGACCAGGTAGCTCTCCCTCTGTTCTTCCTCTCCTTGGTCTGTCACTACCCGGAGTGGTGAAAGAGATCTTTGTCCCCCGCCTGTTGCTCTTAACCGCCCCTCGTTTATCAAGCCTGCCCGATGACACATTTCTATAAAGGCCTCCATTCTTTGTTTCACTCTTAGCACTTTAGTTTTTATGCTGAGAAGGACAGACGTCTCTATTAAAAATGTATTTGAAGAGAAAGTGTGTTAGTGGTTAGAGCTGTGTATAATGCAGTTGTATAGGCCCTTGATTTAATCTGGTTGTAGTAGGGGTCTGGTAAATGAGGGAGACCCCTCTCTATGGCTGGCCTAGAAAACCTGTAAATGAAGTAGTACTGTCATCTGAGCTTGGGCTCTAAATGGCTATTAGAACAATCTAGAAAAATTGAGATCAAATTATTGTTTACATTCATGTAACACGGTAGCTGCCATTGTACACTTCAACACACACACGGCAGCTCTATTATATAGCCAGTCACTGCTGTTCTACTCATTGTGGGAACAGCAGCTTCCCTCCCAGCCCCCAGCTCCTGCCCCTGACCTCGGCCGCCCCACTAGGGAGGATATGGGGGACTCTACCATATCCATATGGACCATTTCCCCAGGCCCACCAGAATCCCTTAGCCTCCACCAGCCTCAGTTAGCCTCCAGTTCCAATTTTAATCAAGTTTAGGAAACAATTGTCTGACTTGTGGGACTAGGCCTCAGTATCCTGGGCCATCGGGGAGGTCCAGGACAGGAGGAGGAATTAAACAGATATTCCCTGTCTGTCTCTGTCTCAGTCTGTCTTTAACTGTAATGCCGTTATTAAGCCTGTCTAACTGTAAGGCCCTGGGAGGTTACAGGCAGCAGGGTAGGTACTGGGTTGTTTACTACACCCTCTCCTCCTGCGTTCGTTTGGCCTCCTTGGCTCTTGACTTAATAGGCAAACTAATTAGCTCCCGCAGGAAGCCCACCAAAACCGGCCAGTCCGAGGTGGTCCATCTAACACGCCAGCACTAAAAATCAGTTTGCGGAGGTTTACAACCCAAAGCGCCCGGCTACCATTATGAGGATTTAATTAAGATTGTGTATTCTAACAGTGAGCTGGTTTCAGTGGTGGGCAATAATGTAGTGTCGACTGCATGCTGCATTTTTACAGTCTCATGACATTCACTCAATCTCTCTAATTGGAAGCAGCCCTGGATCGGGATCATAACATTGAGCTCTTTGTTCTATTGATTTGGCCTGCAGAGTTAACATTGAGGTCTTTGTTCTATTTGTTTGGCCTGCAGAGTTAACATTGCCCTTACTGCTCTTCCTATCCACCTCCTCCCTGTCTACTGACCTTCACAACAGTTTTTAATTCATGCACTTACAGTAACTACTGTTAAATTAAGCCTGACAGAATGTCAAATCGAGTTTGTTTTGTAGCTGTTTGGTTTTCCTTCCTAATTTTAGCATGGCATATCTCAAATTATGGCATATTTTATGTAATTTGTTAAGCATTAACACTCTCTCCCTTCCTCTCTCCTTCTTCCTCCCTCTCTCTCTTCCTCCCTCTCTCTCTTCCTCCCTCCCTCTATTCCTCCCTCCTTCTCCCCCTCTCTCTCTCTCTCTCTCCCTCCCCTCCCTCCCTCCCTCCCTCCCTCTAGTCCTGCTCTAATGTAGAATGCTGGACGCTGCAGTGTGATGTTGGTCTTCTGGAGAAGGGGACCAGCGCCATCCTCAAAGTGCGCTCACGCATCTGGGCTGAGACCTTCATTGAGGTACGTACTGTATGGACTGGAGATGAAACCAACCACTCTGCATACAATTGCTCCACCACATACCTTTTAATATGGCGATCGAAAACTGGATCTTGGTCATGTTCAGATGCAGAGATAAAACCAACTGCCAGAACTATTGGCCTTCTCTCAAACTCACTAGACATGTACAGTGAGGGGAAAAAAGTATTTGATCCCCTGCTGATTTTGTACGTTTGCCCACTGACAAAGAAATGATCAGTCTATAATTTTAATGGTAGGTTTATTTGAACAGTGAGAGACAGAATAACAACAAAAAAATCCAGAAAAGCGCATGTCAAAAATGTTATAAATTGATTTGCATTTTAATGAGGGAAATAAGTATTTGACCCCTCTGCAAAACATTACTTAGTACTTGGTGGCAAAACCCTTGTTGGCAATCACAGAGGTCAGACGTATCTTGTAGTTGGCCACCAGGTTTGCACACATCTCAGGAGGGATTTAGTCCCACTCCTCTTTGCAGATCTTCTCCAAGTCATTAAGGTTTCGAGGCTGACGTTTGGCAACTCGAACCTTCAGCTCCCTCCACAGATTTTCTATGGGATTAAGGTCTGGAGACTGACTAGGCCACTCCAGGACCTTAATGTGCTTCTTCTTGAGCCACTCCTTTGTTGCCTTGGCCGTGTGTTTTGGGTCATTGTCATGCTGGAATACCCATCCACGACCCATTTTCAATGCCCTGGCTGAGGGAAGGAGGTTATCACCCAAGATTTGATGGTACATGACCCCGTCCATCGTCCCTTTGATGCGGTGAAGTTGTCCTGTCCCCTTAGCAGAAAAACACCCCCAAAGCATAATGTTTCCACCTCCATGTTTGACGGTGGGGATGGTTCTTGGGGTCATAGGCAGCATTCCTCCTCCTCCAAACACGGCGAGTTGAGTTGATGCCAAAGAGCTCGATTTTGGTCTCACCTGACCACAACACTTTCACCCAGTTCTCCTCTGAATCATTCAGATGTTCATTGGCAAACTTCAGACAGCCCTGTATACGTGCTTTCTTGAGCATGGGGACCTTGCGGGCGCTGCAGGATTTCAGTCCTTCACGGCGTAGTGTGTTACCAATTGTTTTCTTGGTGACTATGGTCCCAGCTGCCTTGAGATCATTGACAAGATCCTACCGTGTAGTTCTGGGCCGATTCCTCACCGTTCTCATGATTATTGCAACTCCACGAGGTGAGATCTTGCATGGAGCCATAGGCCGAGGGAGATTGACAGTTCTTTTGTGTTTCTTCCATTTGCGAATAATCGCACCAACTGTTGTCACCTTCTCACCAAGCTGCTTGGCGATGGTCTTGTACCCCATTCCAGCCTTGTGTAGGTCTACAATCTTGTCCCTGACACCCTTGGAGAGCTCTTTGGTCTTGGCCATGGTGGAGAGTTTGGAATCTGATTGATTGATTGCTTCTGTGGACAGGTGTCTTTTATACAGGTAACAAGCTGAGATTAGGAGCACTCCCTTTAAGAGTGTGCTCCTAATCTCAGCTCGTTACCTGTATAAAAGACACCTGGGAGCTAGAAATCTTTCTGATTGAGAGGAGGTCAAATACTTATTTCCCTCATTAAAATGCAAATCAATTTATAACATTTTTGACATGCGTTTTTCTGGATTTTTTCGTTGTTATTCTGTCTCTCACTGTTCAAATAAACCTACCACTAAAATGATAGACTGATAATTTCTTTGTCAGTGGGCAAACGTACAAAATCAGCAGGGGATCAAATACTTTTTTCCCTCACTGTAGATGCATGTTTCTACCAGATGACAATGGCACTGATTGCATGAGACGGACTGTCTCCGTTCACAATGTCGTCTGTGTATTTTCTCATGTCAAGGTTTGGCTGAGTATAAGTGGAACGATTCCTTTAAGCATCTACAAAGAAAAAAATCAACAGTCAAAACCTCAAATTCGAGACTGTAAAAGATTAATGACCAGTCAGACTCACACATGTGATTGTGTTGACTAGATGTCAGTATTAATGCTAGGTCAGAGCTAAACTCTGCCAGTGTGCACTGTCTCAAATATTTGGCCCAAATGAAGAGAAAGCGGTAGCTAACAGGGTGTATAATGTAATTTCAATAGTCCTGTGTGTGTATTGGTCAATAGTGTTTTAGTTAGAGCTGGACGGTATCTGTCCACAGAAGCAGTTGTGAGAGACCTTACATGCAAGGCTTATGTGTGAGTGCATTGAAAATTCATTAGCTGGTAGTCGCGGTTTCTCATAGGATTGGAATGTCAGAGGTTTTTTTTGAGAGAGACAACCGGTCTGATAATAGAGTTGCATCTCTCTGTAGCACATTATCGCCACCTACTGGACACAAATTGCATCCATTACCAGTCCACACCCTAGCCTTGCTTATGCATATACAAGCTGCGTTTTCCCAGTACTCCTACACAAATTATTTGCAGAATCACTTTGAATTTCCAATCTGATCCAGTTCCTGTTGTTTTGCTTCCATCCTCAGAGGGCATACAAAGGGTATGTGCTCGAATGCCTGGCAAGATTCAGTGTGGTCAAGATGCCCTATGCCATCTTACCCAAGGAGGTACCAAGTGGATCTAAAAAGGTAGGTCTATGTGCAATGCACCCATGTTACCAAACCACTCTATTTGTTACTGTATTGTTAGTCATGCATTACCATACAGTATGCCAAAGTTTTTTCATCACTCCGCTGTTGGGAAAATGCAAGATTCCTGAAATCACTATTATATTATAAGTGGTGGTCATTACTAATTTTTCTGCCCCCTCCTCAGGTGGTGACCCCGGTAGTGTGGAACAAGCCGGACAGTCAATACTCTGTGCCCTTGTGGATCATCATTTTGGCCATACTAGCTGGACTTCTGCTGCTGGCACTGCTGATTTACGTCTTGTACAAAGTGAGTGGTCAAGATGGTGCTGATGTTAACGTCTGGCAGAGTGGGTGGTTCCCATCTCTTACGAACTTCACATATTTGCCTTTAGAACTTAGACTTATTAGTCTCAGGCCAAACTCTGTCTAGCTCTTAGCTCAGGCTTGTAGCTCAGGCCTACATGTACGTTTGGCTGGAGAGACTAGAACCTCATTGACATATGAACATTTGAGATGTTATAAATATTATATTATATTCAGTTCTAACTTTGTCTGTCGTTTTCATTCTCCCTCCCAGCTTGGCTTCTTCAAGAGGTCGCTACCCTACGGCACGGCTATGGAGAAGGCCCAACTCAAGCCCCATGCTGTGTCTGAGGCCTAAACACCACAGAAGGATGAAAACAAACTATTTTGTTGTCGAAGAACCAAAGAAACCTACATACCCACATGATTGCAACAGAGAAACATGGTTCATTTAAAGTCCAGAGAGGATCAGACTGCAGTTGAAGAGTTAGGAAGAGGAGGAGAAAAGACCACTGGAACTCCACTGTACTGCACTAGAGGAAGAAAACCCTAAGAACTCCAAACCAAATGAATGTTTTAATTTAATATGTGTTGTTTTGTTTGTCGGTTTGGGGTCGATCACCAAGCTGAACTGGCCTTAGACTTAATGATCCTATTTGAGTTGAAGTCCAAGACTAGTGACTACAGAAGGAAGAGAATGGGAGCCGCCTATGGAAGCCCTTGATAAGCCCAGGATTGAGGAAGACGCTTGGTTTCTCCCTCCACATCTTTTAAAATAGCTTTTTCTTACTTGGATCCTTGTGAAAGATAATAATGTTTAAGTATTTTTAACTGCCTTCATTTTGGTGCTAAAAAACTGTGTGCTCAGTGCTGCAAACAGGGGATGGCCACATCTTTCTTGTGGTGTTGAGGGGAGTGAATGCCTCTCCCTTCCTTTTTGTAGCATTAAGGAATCACAGCTGATACTTTCCTCACCAAAGACCTGGAGACTGCATGATCAGGGCTTCTACCCACAGACAGATGATTGTGTCTGTCTCATGTCGCCAAACTCTCTACACTTTGACTTTTTACCTATCAAAATCTCTACCAAAGATTTTTTACGGTCTCATCTTTTGTTTTACGTAAGATGTAAGTTCATGTAAGTGCAGCCCAAGTGCTCCAGTAATGTTTGTCAGGTATAGATAGGCTCCTCTGTTCTATCTACATGGCTTCTGCCCCCTTCTGAGTGGTGGACATGCAGTACTTCGTCCAGTTGTTTTGCACTCAAAGAAAATCTACTGATGACTAACAAGATGCCAAAAACAGATAGGACACTGACTGACTGATCTTCCTTTGAGTTTGACATGAACTCTTATTGATCACGTTGTGTTGATCCATGTTTGTTGTAACAAATGAAAGCATTGTTTCAAAGTCGTCTGGGACTTGACTGGATCCACCACCATGGGCCTGTGAGATAGATCTCACTAAGAGCTTGAAACAGTGTGGTGCTTTGCCAGAACTCTGGCTGGTGACTTGTAAGCAAGGTTGTCCAGACTTTGCTTGTGCTGCAGGAGGCAGTATGGAAATTGGGTTGAAGCAAAGGCCATCCAGGTATATCCACAGCCTTGGTGTGTAATGATGTCTTGAAAGTCAATATATACCTATCATATGTTGCTGACAGAGATCAGGGAAGTTGCAGTACATTCTGAGTGGGTTGCTAGCAGGTCAGGGCTCATTCCATGTGAGTGTCAGGGAAACGGCCAAATGTCCAGTCCCTACACATTTGACCTTGATCTTACAGTGTGCTACGAGCATCTTCGCTTTGGTAAAAAATATATATATATTTGATGCCGTTATGGATAAAGAGAATTGACTATGAGAACCAGATGCACTCCCAACACAATGGTGCAGCTTCACCCAGGGACTGAATATGTGGGGTTCATTTATTTGTCATGTTTTTATGTCAATAGTCTGTGCCTGAGAGAGGTGTGTGTGTGTGTGTGTGTGTGTGTGTGTGCTGGACTGCATATGACATTGTGTGCATTTTCCTGTCTGTGTATGTTTTTTCGTGTGAATCAGAGAGATCTTTCCCATTGCTAAGTCCACTCCTTCCTCCCTTGCATCACTAGAGAAGGGTAGACTTGTCCAGCAGTAATGCTGATCATCGCATCACTACAACTTGTGCTCAGGATGGGTTGAGACTGCTGTTTAGGACAGCTAGGATCAGAGTAGCTATTCATTTAATGCAATAGAGAGACTACAATGCAAATGCATGTACATACATGTCAGTACTGTAAAATCAGTTTGTGCCTCTTGTAAAGGAATAGCAACTGGGCATTGGGAACAAAAATAAACTTGTTTGTACGTGCAATATTATTTACTCTGGTTTTAATATCGGTTTTAGTTTTTGCAGTTTTGTTATTTTCTTTCATTTTGTTCCAGAGGTGTTGCGTTAAACCCGTTGTATTGAACATCTAGTGATGAGTGTGAGATCTCAACCATACACAGACTACTGTGGTCGGAAGGGGTATGGTCCGATTTTTTTTTTCTCTAGGTTTTTCCACTGCACGTTTTGACAACTTACGTTTTGCCCCACTGCTATAACTAGCCAATATTTAGTATCAATATTTAGTAAAAAAACGACCTCCATCAAACCTCTGAGTTGAACTCGAGTTGGCCTATGCTTCTTGTGTGATAATGTATGTGCAGTTCAATTGTATCAGCCAACCATGGGGTTACACATCTGTTCTTATCTGTTACGCCCCCTGGGTGATATTGGTGGATTATTCTACGATTAGGCTTTTCATGAGAGCTTTATCAAGACTCATGGTGCAAAGACTGCTAATGCTACTCAGTGGATTCCCTTTACACATATAATATTGTTTTGAACAGTATTTGTATGATAGTGGTGTCCAGACTGACAATTTCAACCTAGTATTATTTATATGTTGAGGATGTTTTAAACATAATCCTCTGTGGTTACAGCAAGAAACTACACTGGGTTTATCCTTGTTTTTCTAAATGTCTTCTAGGCCCCATTTAATATTTGTTCTCCTTTTTACCAAAGTTGTAAATATATTTCTGACAAGGAGAATGTTTTTTGATCCAAAAAAAATAAATAGCTTGTTGTGAATTTTACTCTCCTCATATTGGGGAGGGGGGTGATCATTGATCATTTGTTTTATGGTTTGCATTTCCAATAAAAAATTCAATTTTTACAAACCCCTACTTCATGCTTTGATTGAATACACATCATTCTGAAAATAATTTATTTAGAAAAAATAAACTTACATGGTATGAAATGTTTTACAAATTTGTCTATGTGTTCTGGCAACATAACTGATTGCTAAACTATTTATTGTACATGAAAGTTGTATTACAAAGTGGAAAAAGGTCAAAACAAACACACCATAACTACATGCTATAGCATAGATCTACTCTACTGTATGTGCTTATGTAGACTGGTTACGCCTCGATCACACCAACAGAGTTATTGCCTTTTGGTACACCAGAAGTACATTCATTTCAAATGGAACGCTGCGTTTGCTTTGCAGCATTGCGTAGCAGAGGCAGTTGCAGTGCGTTCTGTGTGGTGCATACGTTGGATTTATCGAACGCATGTGTCAAACTGTATGTGTACACAACTTGACAAAAATGGTAGCAGAAGATGAATGTTTGTTGCACACATCCAGATGATGCTGCGTACTATTTTGCGCGAAACACTATCAGTGTGATCAAGGCATTCGCTAACAACGTCATGAAAACGATGCACGCGTCAATGGGGCAGAAGTCTGTGTGTTGTGATTCTGGATGGCCAGATAGCTAGCAACAATGACAAGAAGCTGCCATGTTTCAACTAGTTTTATCTTGTTCTTGATACCATGTCTTGTTTTGAGGTGTTTTGACTGATGTCACATCTATGCTAATATGGCAAAAATTCGCTAGCTAGCTAACCAACAACTGTAACGATCTATTTGAGAGACAAGTGCTCATTGTGCAAATGTACTTCTTTTCAATAAACATTGGAGACTAAATATAGTTTACATGTTATCAACAATCTAAGCCTACCCTGTCTCTTTTGCCCCATAGTTGTGCACACGGCGGTTTTATTGCTAAACAACCAACCCGTCTATGGCACTCACTTGTAAAACCATAAGATTATCATACAAATAGTCTGCTATACATATGATCGTATAAATAACAGCTAATGCCAAATGTCTGCACTTCTTCCTCCGGAGTGTAGTGTTGCATCACAGCACACTCCTATCAGTAACAGCAGTCACAGGACCAGCAACGTCTCTGGTAAGGCACTAGGGGTCACTAGATACTGCCAGTCGGATCCCTCTTCAGGTCCTAGTCCTGTTGATTAGCAGTCCCAACAGCTGCTTCTCTTGAATGTTCTCTGTGTTATACTGAACAGCCCAGAAACATCCACAGTCCTCCATTCTTGACACCAGACATGTACACGAGTCTATAGAAGAGCTTGCATGTGGATTAGTATGTGTGTATTCCCGTGCCAACCTCTGATTCACAGGCTGTGTTATGGACAGTCTTTATACACAGAGATAGTCCTTATACACTGGTCTGGTTCAACTCTCAGCGCTCCAGTCCCCTGGACAGTTGTGTCAGTTTGCGCTGGTTGTCGATCACTTCAAAGTTCTGAACATAGTGGCGGATGTTGCTAGGATTCCGGAGAGGGAGGGACTGCTCGGAATCTGGACAAGAGACAAGGAGGGAGATTGTTTTTTAACACAACACAGAAGAGCTACATTTACTTAATCTCATTTGAAGCTCTGAGTGGAAAATGAGTTAAGCATTGACTTATTTTGTAGATGAGGCATAGCTTGTGGCATAGCTTACATGTGGACACCCGAATGGAAGGCGCCTCCAGAAACATTCTGTCTGCGAGTCCCTTCTGAGGTGAGGAAGGCACTGCAGGACAAAGAACCATAGAAAGTGAACACCATGTCCCAACATTGTCCTTATTCCATTATTTTCTACAACATTTTTCTTTTGTTGTCTTACCGTAAGGTGTGCTTCTGCACCCTCGAACTATCTTCACTGTCTTGGCAATCATGCGCTGAAACGGTGAAAAGAAAAGGTGGCTTATTAAGCCAATAGTTTACAGACAAAAAGAGAAGACATAACTTAGGTAAGAATTTGATATTTAGGCTAGACAACTCACCATTTTCTCAAAATTGACCAGTTTGTCCGTGTAGTTCTTGTTTCCCTCATGGATGAATGTCATGTCTAGAGAAACAGTTGGCAAACAGAACAACATACTGGTTCAGTATAGGGTCATATAGACTTTACTCAGGTATTGAATGTTACAGCAGGTGTTCCTCTGTAGCTCAGCTGGTAGAGCACGGCGCTTGTAACGCCAAGGTAGTGGGTTCGATCCCCGTACACAAAAAAATGTATGCACGCATGACTGTAAGTCGCTTTGGATAAAAGCGCCTGCTAAATGGCATATTATTATTATTATTTACATCTCTCACAAGAGGTTTCTAACAAAGCATTATTACCTTTGAGTAGCAGGGGCATGAAGGGGATGTAGGGAGGACTGAGCTTTGCAACAGCCAGTCTGTAGGCTCTGTGGTTACGTGACGGATCCTGACACATTAACAGAAATACACACACTTCTCCATTAGCTCTAGTTATAAAGGAAATATAGGCCAAAAAATGCACATATTACAATGGGAGGAAAACATGATTCATACACATAATGAAAATGAGGGGAAGGGATTGACAAGTGGGCTGTGATGTCACCTGTTGTTATCTATGACATTTAATAGAACACTTTGTTATAAAGCTTGTAAGTGTGCACACATGAACTCACTCACCATTAACCTCTCGTAGGCACAATAGACCCTTTTCGTCTTACTCGGCACTCTCTTTCAACAGCAACAACAACAACAACTGTTACTGTTACTCCTCTGATATCCATTTCACATATGTTATAAATAAAATAAATTGTTATTATAAGCGATCATGAAAATGTAGGTCATTGTCCCCAGCAGGCCTCACCTCCCAGGTCTTGTAAAGTCTCTGTACAGCACTGTTGCTTAGACCAAACATCACAGCAAAGAATGAGTTGAGGTTCTTCTGCTCCTTCAACCTGAAACAGGAAACACAGCCAGTAACTCAACTAAACATATACATTACCTAAATGGTTCTTAGAGCATCAGTGTCTACAGACATTACCAATATTTTAACTGGATATGAAAACATGATTTCTGCTGGTATGTTCAATATTTTTTGTATATAGTGTGTTATTGAACAAAATCACCAATATAGTATACTGCTCCATAGGGATATTTACCCCTAAGATAACATAGTCATTCATCTGCACGATACAAGGTAAACTGTGTCTTAATTTAAGTGAGACTCACATTGCGGCCATCTTGATGAACTTCTTCAGCAGCATGGCTCTCTTCACCAGGTCAGCACATAGACACACCTCCGTCACCACCCAGTACTGCACCTCGTTGAAGCGATGCACAAAACGCTCCAGGTTAGCTGTGGTGGCGCCCGGGAATTTATGTCGCCCAAATATATAGTAGACTAGTTCCACCTGGTGGGAGAAACACATTAATTTACCATCCATATGCACTGTAGCACACTAAACACAGATCCAAAGTATTTGTATGTACCCAAATATATCAAGCAACCATCCAATGGACTAAACCTACAATTTGGCATAACATTTGAACTTGACTTGAACTTGTTTTCCTTGTCAAAGAGGTATTTTGACCTCAGTGGGACAACCTGGTTAAATAAACGTTACATAAAAAGAGGTGTGTATGTCAGATGAACACGTGGCCAATACAGGAAGTAGTGTGTCAGGTGAAGAGATGACCTGATGACTGATATGATGCTGCAGTAACAGTTACCAGAGAGAGGATGACTCAGACACATGCCTGAGTGACAGACAGCGAATCCTTTAGCCCTGTTTATACCTGGTGCTAACATGTGCCCTGTGTTCGGAAAAAGTTCACATTCTGATTGTGCCCACTTTTTCAGACAGGTGTAGACGATTCAAATACATTTTGTTAACTGATTTTGATCAGATCTTACAAGTGTAATAGGACAAGATCAAGACAAGATCAGGACGAAGGACGCATGTTAGAGTTTAAACAGGGCTATTGTTGTTCTGAGACAGACTGAGACAGCTCACATCTGAGTCACCAGGCCTTGTAAAACCAGCTACCTACCACAGATGTTAGAATTTAAACAGGGCTATTATTGTTCTGAGACAGACTGAGACAGCTCACATCTGAGTCACCAGGCCTTGTAAAACCAGCTACCTACCACAGTGCATACCCACATGTGAGATAGATGTCATACCCCTAATTGACATTTACATTTGAGTCATTTAGCAGATGCTCTTATCCAGAGCGACTTACAGTAGTAGTGATTGCATACATTTTCAAACGTTTCTACCTCATTCTCACTAACTAAGCCCCTTATTCAGGGAAATGGGGCATACTGGTGATACTCAGTATTTAAAGCTGGGTAGCAAATGATTCCACACAAGCGCCCATTGCAAGCATAGACCACAGTTTCTCCACTTTTAACTCTTATGCTGCTGGTCCCAAATCCATAACTTCCACTCCACAATATTGGCACAGCTCTGGCATGGGCTCACCTCGCTTCCTTCCTTACCTCGTGCATGGCGGTAAACAGTTCCCAGTCGTAGTTGGTGAGCTGGCTGGCGATGTCCTTGGAACACATCTGCTCCAAAGTGTCAATGGTGCTTTGATCAGGACCCTGCTGCTCCTTCAGGGGCGTCTGTAAAGTGCCAGAGAACAACCACCATAAATAATGCCATGACATCACACAAATATCTATAAACGGTATGCTATGATGACTGTCTGGGGATGTTTTTGTTTGATTCACCATGCAGTGTAGTTCTTCAGTTATATATAAGTTATATATGTTCATCTCAGCAGCCATGAGAGACTATAGAGTAGGTATAGGAGTAGGTATAGATTGTAGGTGATGAGAGGAGGTTAGGACTCACAAGTTGTTCCACCTGGCTGGCAGTGCAGAGGAAGAGTTTCTCATTCAGCCCCAGGGAGGTGTAGACTGATGTGGTATCCAGCTTCAGCTGAGTCCTGTCTATGATACAGCAAATACAAATTACCTCAGAGACACACATCCCAACTTAACATCAACACTCACTGAGAGCTACACACTCACCCAATAAAACTTACCATAATCTCAATTTACATGTTACAAGACATTAACATGCACATATACAAAATCGTAAAGTTATGAATATAACTGCTCTTGCCTGAAGGAGGGAGTATTGTACCAAGTGTGTCAACTGAAAGGGAAATAATGAATATCCTGTACAGCTGTATCTTAGAAAAGGGCTTCATATTGCTTCCAGGTGAAATGGAAAAATAAAAAATAGCCACGCACCTCCCATGGAGTTCATTTTGACCAGGACGTGGTCTCCTCCTGGGTTTACCAGCGATGACATCATTTCCTGAACAGAGGTGTTCACCGGCAGCATCAGAGTGATTGACGTATGGTCTGGCCGGAAGATCTCACACAATACTAGGAGAGAAAACACAGAGACATGGGAAAGGAAGTTAAGCATTAAAGGCCCAGTGCAGTCAAAAATTTGATTGTCCTGTGTTTTATATATATTTCCACATTATGAGGTTGGAATAATACTGTGAAATTGTGAAAATAATGATAATGCCCTTTTAGTGTAAGAGCTATTTGAAAAGACCACCTGAAATGTCAGCCTGTTTCGGTGGGATGGAGTTTTGGCCTGCCTGGTGACATCACCAGGTGGTAAATTTGTTAATAGACTAATAAGAAAGAGAGCTCCGAAGCTCTCTGCCAATAACAGTTCGTTTTCACTTTTCCCCTCCCCACTCCCAGACAGTCCTAGGAAAATTCTTGCTTAAGAAATTGTTCTTTGTTAAGAAGCTATTTTTGACATTTTTAATCATTTTAAACAATCACAGTAAGGTACTTAATTTTTACACAGAAATTATTTGATATTGAGATAAAAAAAACCGGCTGCATTGGACCTTTAAAACAAAGTATAGCAACAACCATTAACATTGATCAATCTGTAAGTGCATTTCATGGTTACAGTGGGCTGCCAATGGTTAACCAATAGTTAATAAACAGTAAAGAAATAAAAGGCCAATTGTATATTTTGTGTCATTATAGAAAAGCATAGTCATTACCATGCTATTCATGACATAGTTATTATCATGCTATGGTTGACATAATATAATCTGATCCTTCAAGTTTCATGGTAGTCTCACTGACCTTTGTCCTGTGATCTGATTGGCAGACACTTCCCCACTTGCTCCTCACAACTGGAGAACCAGTCAAACTGATGGTTAAGCTAATGGAAACAAACAATAGACAGAGTAAGTCAGCCACAAGTGTGACTTTTAATTTCTCTATGTTTTTAAAATTATTTTAATGTTTTATCTTTTAGCTCCAGCAGCTCTGAAGACTAACATGCTGTGTTATAAAGGTTGGAGTTGTATTGTTTCTTCTGCTATCTCCCAATCTGTCTAAGTAAAGAGAGCCTTTAATGTGGTAATAAACAGAGATGCAGATGTATTTGTGTGTGCAAGAATGACCTTTATGAGCCTGTAATGTGGTTCAACTTACCCTTGTCAGTGACCCGTGTTCATTCTCAAGCCTGGAAAGATATTGAAAAATACAAAAATGATAGTAACCTAATTCAAATCTCAAGTCCAGATTCCATAAATACTCTTATTGGCTTGGTTACGATACTGCATAATGTCATCAATATGACTGTAAAGGAAAGCACCTGACTTTTGCTATTGTTTCACATTCCTGTGATCACAAGGCTTACATCCATCCCATACTATATTGAACTTTGACCACCATTATTCACCCTATGGGCCCAAAAGTCGTGCATTTCAGATGCACCCTGGGTAATGTGTTCCTACTCACACTCTGGTTCTCCTCCTGTCTCTGAGCTGCTCCCTCAGCATACCGGACAGACGGGAGTCACCTGCCACCTCCTCCCCCAGCCTCTGTCATGCATAGAAACACTATGTATAAACACTGAATGTATATAGTATTTTTATGGTCACAACACACATAAACAACACACAGGCCATCATTCAATACAATATCCTGCACAATTTACTGTATAAAATATATATTTGGATAACAATGATATAAGGCTCTGCTATTTGTTATACTCTATAGATCATCAATAAATCTATACTACATATATAATCTATGAATATGTGTTTGGTTATAGAGAATCCCACTACCCCCCGGCCCTCACTCACCGCCAGGAAGTCTACAGCGATGGGGTCATCTTTGAGCAGCTGGCCGAACAGCGCCACCCACTGGCAAATCAGCTTCACTATCTTCTGCTTGGTGTTGAGGGCATAGGCTGCCTTCTCCAGATCTGAGCCCTCAGAAGGGTCGGCATGGTAGGTGCACTCATGGATAAGGAAGAGAACCAACCCATCTGAACAACAGCTTAACACAGCTATTCTAGATTAGACCACTGTCTGAGCTGTTGTCGACTGAAGAGACACTAGTCTGTCTCTTCAGCTTGAGGAGCTGGATGCTTTGGTTGAATTATGTTAATTCGTTTAATTTAATAACATTTTAAACGTTTAATTTGTTTTCTGGTAGACAGATTCAAAATACTCCCACAAATGTTGGGTATGTGATCCTCTTAGAGACAAAATGTAAGCAAATAGAATTAGACACAACAACTTATGACATCACACAACCACCACCACCACCACCATCATCATCACCATCATCATAATCATCTAAAGGATATTGGTGTTGCAGGGCCGGGCAAAGCTGGCTGGAGGGCATGAAGACCCTGTGGGTTAGCAGGAAGTCACTCACACAGGGATCTGTGGGCACAGACAGAACAACACATAACTCACTAACGAGGACTAATGGCACTCTGTGTCCCTCCACTTTGTGTCCCATCCGCTTCCTCCCTGAAAAACACCACCGCAATGAGTCATCTGATGGTTTTTAGCGAGCTGACATAAAATAAATAGCCAGGAATGTGCCAGGCCTGATTCTGCCTGTTCTTTTCTGTCTTTGTTGGCTGTTTCATGTGAATGACCAAAACAAACAGTTCCCATGAAACCAGAAACTATCTTTAAAGTTTGGCTGAGGATTCAGAGGTGAAACTACTGTATGGTCATCCTGGTACAGTATAGTGTGTTTTAAAAGAGGAACTCCTGTTCTTTGAATTTAAAACAGTGAGAGTATGTCAGTGGTCCAGCGACATAGAGGGGTCCAGCCACTATAGTAGAGAGACGTTTGGACCCATACAAGGCAAGCCATACAGGTTTCCTACCTATTGCATCATTGCCATTAGTATCCAGCTTCACTGTCTCAAGCAGGTGTTCTAGGATCTTCTCTGGCGTTCCAGACATCACTGTATACCTGAGTGTGTAGGAGAGGGAGTGGGAGAGGGGGGAGGCAGAGGGAGAGGGGGAGGGGGAGGGAGAAGGAGAGGGGAAAGTAAAGAGGGAGAGGGGAGGGGAGAGGGGGGAGGGAGAAGAAGAAGGAGGAGGGGGAAGTAAGTAACAGAGGGAGAGGGGGAGGGGAGAGGCCAGAGGAGGAAGCGGGAGGGGGCGGGAGAAGAGGGGAGAGGTCAGGTGGAGGGGAGGGGGAGGAGAAGGAGGAGGGGGAGTAAACAGAGGGAGAGGGGAGGGGAGAGGCCAGAGGGGAGGGGGAGGGAGAAGGAGAGGGAGAGGATCAGGGGAGAGGAGGGGGAGGGGGAGGGAGAGGAGAGGGGAAGAACGAGGGAGAGGGGGAGAGGAGAGGCAGAGGGAGAGGGAGAGGGAGAGGGGAGGGGGAGGGAGAAGGAGAGGGGAAGAGGATCAGTGGGAGAGGGAGAGAGTGTAGGTATGTGTGTAGTGTGGAAAGAGCAACAGGTGGACACATTGGTTAACAGTATAAAGAGGCAGCCATTGAGCATCACATTAATTAAACTCAACATTTGCTAAAACACTTGAAGTGAGATAACAAAGCGCAGTCCATTCAACTGAACAGGGTTGAGGTCTATTTCTGTGTTGAATCAACAATAGGCAGGCAGATAACTGCCACAATTAACAACACTGTTAACTAAAACAGTGCTTGTTTCTTGCACATGTAATATTCTATAGCAAAAATGTTTGTTTACATGACATTGGTCTAAAAATGCCTTAGAGGAGTGTGTTTATTTAGGTCTTGATTAATGTATAAGTGCTTGTTTGACTGATTGTTGATATACAGTATATTCTATGAAAGGTGGGTGTGTCTTACTTGCTGCTGTTTCCTGCCCCTCCATGATTGGTTGACTCAGCCTTCTCCAGCACCAACACAGCTTTGCCATGTTCCTCCAGACGCATGGTGTTAGCTTCCACATCCTGAAACACAATGTAAACACACAGTCGTATAGACACTTTACATACAGTACACACTGTACACAGTACACGTGGATACGTAGACCTTTAAGGAAATGCAATAGGCATATTTGAATCAGTGGCATGTATTCATGGATGCCAAGGGAAGCCAGCCTTCCCCAAATATTTGACCAATAAAAAATAATAATTTATAAAATAATTTATCTTTCGTCTCTCTGTGTTTTCATAATTTCCCGTCAATTCGCAAGTGGCTGAATCTCATCCGAGCGAGGGAAACAGTGCCCCTCTGTCTGTGTGTGTGTAGCCCATGTATCTGATGCTGTCTGGACAAAAAGAGTATGACACGTTGCCGCCGTAGCATTTGATTGATTGACGCCAGCAAGCATTTGGAATCTCTTGATAAAAAATAAAGGAAAAAAAGAATAAAGGAATGAGCCAATCAGCGTTGAGCTGAGCTCAACTGTGCGTTGTCCTTGTGCAGCAAAACGCCCCCAAGGGAGGCCAGTTTGGATTTGGCTTCACACCAATCAAATCACATTCCAAGCAAAATCTCATAAATGTCAGAAAACGTGTCTGTTTCTGGTCTGCTTGTGTTGATATCCTGCAGTACCTAGCTTGCTAAATCGGCCCTTTCCTAAGACATGGATGGAGATGGGAATTTGGATTTGTGGTTTTGTCTTAATTCTCTGTACAGGCCAATGATTATGATGGCGATTCTGATCTAACCATAAATTCATATATTGTACCACTGGCCTGAGATGATTGAAGTTCAATATGTAGCCTATATGTAGCCTAGTAGGCTCACGTTAACTAGTTAGCTAACTTAGCTGGTTAATTGTTTCCCATGCAAGGAAGTTAGGCTAGCAAGCATTTTAGCTAGGTAGCCATGAAAACAAAAGCTAAAAGCGTACTGTATGACAAAGCTTTAGATGGTTTTTCCAACATGAAAGAGAGGAGGATGGCATACTAGTCTACAAATAGGGTGAGTAATATTTTTTTTTTACTTGCGCGCAAGCACACACACACACACACACACACACACACACACACACACACACACACACACACACACACACACACACACACACACACACACACACACACACACACACACACACACACACACACACACACACACACACACACACACACACACACACACACACACACACACACACACACACACACACACACACACACACACACACACACAGAGAGAAATCAGTACCATGGACAGCCACATGATATTTAGCAACATTGATTGAACTAAATAGTTTTTGGTATCTTTAAGTTTGTTTTCAGTGTATTAAATTAAGCATACTGTATATAGCCTTGTTGATTTGATGATGTTTAAATGTTTAAGTTGAATTTGTTACATGCAATATTTGCTTTGTCGACTTCACCGGACAGATGTTGCTCTCCGGTTTTGTGATGAAACAAACGTATGTATAGTTTAATTTATTCCGCCACTGTGTGACTGTTGTCTTTTTGTTGTCACAGCCTTATTGTATATCATGGTGGTGTATGAACAAATGGGTTATAGAGCAAACAACGCAAATATCACAACATAGGTTTTAATATGTATTTTTTACTGGCTTGGCTTGGCTTCCCCAGTGATTTTACCCACGCACCGCTACTGATTTGAATAGAGTATGTACTGTACACAAAAGCAGGTTGTGATCAAAGAGGATGTGTATCTACTTTACATGCAGTACACACACATCAGTATGTATACGATACGTACACAACTTCAGTCTGTGACCAAACTTACCTTGAGGATGCGTATGAAGTCCTGTTTGTCGACTCGTAGGAAGTGGCAGTTGTCCTCTCTCAGGATGATGGTGGCTGCTCTGGGAGCATCGTTCACCAGGGCCAGCTGCCCAAAGTCCTCTCCCTCATGTAGCGTTGTCACCAGACCCTGCATCACACACACAGACACACACACACACACACACACACACACACACACACACACACACACACACACACACACACACACACACACACACACACACAAAGTATAACTATGTAAGTGCGACCAAAAGGCACCTTAACAGCTTCTACCCCCAAGCCATAAGACTGCTGAACAGTTAATGAAATGGCCACCCAGACTATTTACATTGACTCCCTTTATTATTTATTTATTTATCTTAATTATTTTACACTGACTTCCTTGCACTGGCTCTATGCACACTCACTAGACTCTACCCACACACTCACACATACTACACTGACACTCCAACACACACGCACTAGACTCTACCCACACACTCACACATACTACACTGACACTCCAACACACACGCACTAGACTCTACCCACACATAGACACACTTTGACACTTGAAATACGCTGCTGGTACTCTGTTTATTATATATCCTGATTGCCTAGTCACTTCTACCCCTACCCACATGTACATACTGTATTACCTGAACTACCTCGTACTACTGCACATTGACTCAGTACTGGTACTCCTTGTATACAGCCTCGCTGTTTTTATTGTGTTACTATTTCCTTTTTTATTTAGACATTTTTTGTCTTACTTTTTAACTCTGCACTGTTGGGAATGGGCTCGTAAGTAAGCATTTCACTGTAAAGTCTACACCTGTTGTATTCGGTGCATGTGACCAACAACATTTTATTTGATTAACTGTAAGTACAGTGTGAATACAGTTCAAATTCTCTATATCCAAATATTAATCTATAGTGTGTATACTAAAGAATTGTACACAATTAAGATAACTGGGGTAATGGCCTTACCTTTCCATGTGTGATGACATTGACAGAGCCCTTCCAGATGATGTACCATGAAGTGCCTTTGTCTCCCTGACTGAACACTGAGAAACACAAAGACACACAGAGAATCAGGATTCACATCAGTCTCAACAGTCAGTCAGCTCTCTACCAGACAAGGATGTAGGCACGGTGCTTCACAGGTAATGCTGTCCCAAAGGACACTAAGTCCAATCAAAATGAAAGGCTGGGAGGCAAAATGCTGGTGATCTGTATTTTTTCCCCAATGTTCACAAAGGTGCACATGGCATTTTCAGTTGACGTTTCAGTGTTTCAGTGAGCTCTGCGGACAGACAGATTTCTCTGACAATCTAATGGACTGATTGTCCAAGATAAAGGTTTCAGTAGGTTTTACATCAGTGTTGTATACTGCAGTGAGGGGGAGGATGGTAACAGAGACAGAGCGTCTGTAGCACTGTGGTGGTGATGTGGGCCCGGTGAGGCTCTCTTTCTCTCTCTCGCCCACCACAGTTCAAACAAACATCACAGAGGACTATGAAACACTATGACACTCACAGACTGTGCCTGCCTTGGCATGGGACTCAAACATCAGCACTGCTGCCAACTCCTTACGGACCTACAGGAGGAAGAAGGAAAGGAAATGAGACAGGATTAAACAGGGAGAGGTGAGAGGGAGGGGCAGTGTAAAGCCTTAGCGCTACAGGACATACAGTAGGGCTGCTTCCTGCTCTCGGACCCAGATGAAACGTATTCCTGGACTAAAGATCACTTCAATCACTTTCGATACTCCATTGAGCATTGCTTTTGCAGTCAAAAGTTTGGACACACCTACTCATTCAAGGGTTTTTCTTTATTTTTTACTATTTTCTACATTGTAGAATAATAGTGAAGACATCAAAACTATGAAATAACACATATGGAATCATGTAGTAACCCAAAAAGTGTTAAACAAATCAAAATATATTTTATATTTGAGATACTTCAAAGTAGCCACCCTTTGCCTTGATGACAGCTTTGCAAACTCTTGGCATTCTCTCAACCAGCTTCATGAGGAATGCTTTTCCAACAGTCTTGAAGGAGTTCCCACATATGCTGAGCACTTGTTGGCTGCTTTTCCTTAACTCTGCGGTCCAACTCATCCCAAACCATCTCAATTGGGTTGAGGTCGGGTGATTGTGGAGGCCAGGTCATCTGATGCAGCACTCCATCACTATCCTTGGTCAAATAGCCCTTACACAGCCTGGAGGTGTGTTTTGGGTCATTGTGCTATTGAAAAACAAATGAACCCACTAAGTGCAAACCAGATTGGATGGCGTTTCGCTGCAGTATGCTATGGTAGCCATGCTGGTTAAGTGTGCCTTGAATTCTAAATAAATCACAGACAGTGTCAACAGCAAAGCACCCCCACACCATCACATCTCCTCCTCCATGATTCACGGTGGGAACCACACATGCGGAGATAATCCGTTCACCTACTCTGCCTCTCACAAAGAAACAGCGGTTGGAACCAGAAATTTTGAATTTGGACTCATCAGACCAAATGACAGATTTACACAGGTCTAATGTCCATTGCTCAAGCAAGTCTCTTCTTCTTATTGGTGTCCTTTAGTAGTGGTTTCTTTGCAGCAATTCGACCATGAAGGCCTGATTCACGCAGTCTCCCCTGAACAGTTGATGTTGAGATGTGTATGTTACTTGAACTCTGTGAAGCATTTATTTGGGCTGCAATCTGAGGTGCAGTTAAGGCTAATTAACTTATCCTCTGCAGCAGAGGTAACTCTGGGTCTTCCTTTCCTGTGGCGGTCCTCATGAGAGCCAGTTTCATCATAGCGCTTGATGGTTTTTGCAACTGCACTTGAAGAAAGTTTCAAAGTTTTTAAATTTTCCGGATTGACTGACCTTCATGTCTTAAAGTAATGATGGACTGCCGTTTCTCTTTGCTTATTTGAGCTGTTCTTGCCATAATATGGACTTGGTCTTTTACCAAATAGGGCTATCTTCTGTATACCAACCCCTACCTTGTCACAACACAACCGAACATGTTTCAAGCAGACCACCATAGTCCCTGCGCCCAAGAACACTAAGATAACCTGCCTAAATGACTACCAACCCGTAGCACTCACATCTGTAGCCATGAAGTGCTTTGAAAGGCTGGTCATGGCTCACATCAACACCATTATCCAAGAAACCCTAGACCCACTCCAATTTGCATACCACCCCAACAGATCCACAGATGATGCAATCTCTATTGCACTCCACACTGCCCTTTCCCACTTGGACAAGAGGAACACCTACATGAGAATGCTATTCATTGACTACAGCTCAGCGTTCAACGCCATAGTGCCCTAAAAGCTCATAACTAATCTAAGGACCCTGGGACTAAACACCTCCCTCTGCAACTGGATCCTGGACTTCCTGACGGGCCGCCCCCAGGTGGTAAGGGTAGGTAACAACACATCTGCCACGCTGATCCTCAACACGGGGGCCCCTCAGGGGTGCGTGCTCAGTCCCCTCCTGTACTCCCTGTTCACCCATGACTGCATGGCCAGGCCAGGCACGACTCCAACACCATCATTAAGTTTGCAGACGACACAACAGTGGTAGGCCTGATCACCGACAACGATGAGACAGCCTATAGGGAGGAGGTCAGAGACCTGGCCGTGTGGTGCCAGGATAACAACCTCTCTGTCAATGTGATCAAGACAAAAATATGATTGTGGACTACAGGAAAAAAAGAGGACTGAGCACGCCCCCATTCTCATTGACGGGGCTGTAGTGGAACAGGTTGAGAGCTTCAAGTTCCTTGGTGTCCACATCACCAACAAACTATCATGGTCCAAACACACCAAGACAGTCGTGAAGAGGGCACGACAAAGCCTATTCCCCCTCAGGAGACTGAAATGATTTGGCATGGGTCCTCAGATCCTCAAAAAGATCTACTGCTGCACCATCGAGAGATCCTGACTGGTTGCATCACCGCCTGGTATGGCAACTGCTCGGCCTCTGACCGCAAGGCACTACAGAGGGTAGTGCGTACGGCCCAGTACATCACTGGGGCCAAGCTTCCTGCCATCCAGGACCTCTATACCAGGCGGTGTCAGAGGAAGGCCCTAAAAATTGTCAAAGACTCCAGCCACCCTAGTCACTGTTCTCTCTGCTACTGCACGGCAAGCGGTACCGGAGCGCCAAGTCTAGGTCCAAAAGGCTTCTAAACAGCTTCTACCCCCAAACCATAAGACTCCTGAACAGCTAACCATGGCTACCTGGACTATTTGCACTCTCCACCCCACCCCACCCCCCCAACCCCTCTTTTACGCTGCTGCTACTCTATGCATAGTCACTTTAACTCTACCCACATGTACATGTTACCTCAATTACCTCTACTAACCGGTGTCCCCGCACATTGACTCTGTACCGGTACCCCCTGTATATAGCCTCCCTACTGTTATTTTATTTTACTGCTGCTCTTTAATTTTTTGTATTATTAAATTTTTTACTTAACCTGTTTTTTATTATTTATTTTTTAAACTGCATTGTTGGTTAAGGGCTTGTAAGTAAGCATTTCACTGTCAGGTCTACACCTGTTGTATTCGGAGCATGTGTCAAATACAATTTGATTTGATTTGATTGGTTCAAACGCATTAAGAAGGAAATAAATTCCACAAATTAACTTTTAACAAGGCACACCTGTTAATTGAAATGCATTCCAGGTGACTACCTCATGAAGCTGGTTGAGAGAATGCCAAGAGTGTGCATAGCTGTCATCAAGGCAAAGGCTGTCTCCTTTGAAGAATCTCAAATATAAAATATATTTTGATTTGTTTAACACTTTTTGGGTTACTACATGATTCCATATGTGTTATTTATTAGTTTTGATGTCTTCACTATTATTCTACAATGTAGAAAATAGTAAAAATAAAGAAAAACCCTTGAATGAGTAGGTGTGTCCAAGCCTTTGACTGGTACTGTATATATATACAGTTGAAGTTGGAAGTTTACATACACCTTAGCCAAATACATTTAAACTCAGTTTTTCACAATTCCTGACATTTAATCCCAGTAGAAATTCCCTGTCTTTGGTCAGTTAGGATCACCACTTTATTTTAAGAATGTGAAATGTCAGAATAATAGTAGAGAGAATGATTTATTTAAGCTTTTATTTCTTTCATCACATTCCCAGTGGGTCAGAAGTTTACATACACTCAATTAGTGTTTGGTAGCATTGCCTTTCAATTGTTTAACTTGGGTCAAACGTTTCGGGTAGCCTTCCACAAGCTTCCCACAATAAATTGGGTGAATTTTGGCCCATTCCTCCTGACAGAGCTTGTGTAACTGAGTCAGGTTTGTAGGCCTCCTTGCTCTCACACGCCCACAAATGTTCTATAGGATTGAGGTCAGGGCTTTGTGATGGCCACTCTAATACCTTGACTTTGTTGTCCTTAAGCCATTTTGCCACAACTTTGGATGTATGCTTGGGGTCATTGTCCATTTGGAAGACCCATTTGCGACCAAGCTTTAACTTCCTGACTGATGTCTTGAGATGTTGCTTCAATATATCCACATAATTTTCCTTCCTCATGATGCCATCTATTTTGTGAAGTGCACCTGTCCCTCCTGCAGCAAAGAACCCCCACAGCATGATGCTGCCACCCCGTGCTTCACGGTTGGGATGGTGTTCTTCGGCTTGCAAGTCCCCCCTTTTTCCTCCAAACATAATGATGGTCATTATGGCCGAACAGTTCTATTTTTGTTTCATTCAGACAAGAGGATATTTCTCCAAAAAGTACGATCTTTGTCCCCATGTGCAGTTGCAAACCGTAATCTGTCTTTTTTTATGGTGGTTTTGGAGCAGTGGCTTCTTCCTTGCTGAGCGGCCTTTCAGGTTATGTCGATATAGGACTCATTTTTACTGTGGATATAGATACTTTTGTACCTGTTTCCTCCAGCATCTTCACAAGGTCCTTGGCTGCTGTTCTAGGATTGATTTGCACTTTTCGCACCAAAGTACGTTCATCTCTAGGAGACAGAATGCGTCTCATTCCTGAGCGGTATGATGGCTGCGTGGTCCCATGGTGTTTATACTTGCGTACTATTGTTTGTACAGATGAACCTGGTACCTTCAGGCGTTTGGAAATTGCTCCCAAGGATGAACCAGACTTGTGGAGGTCTACAATTTTTCTTGGCTGATTTCTTTTGATTTTCCCATGATGTCAAGCAAAGAGGCACTGAGTTTGAAGGTAGGCCTTGAAATACATCCACAGGTACACCTCCAATTGAATCAAATGATGTCAATTAGCCTATCAGAAGCTCATAAAGCAATGACATCATTTTCTGGAATTTTAGTGTATGTAAACTTCTGACCCACTGGAATTGTGATACAGTGAATTATAAGTGAAATAATCTGTCTGTAAACAATTGTTGGAAAAATTACTTGTGTCATGCACAAAGTAGATGTCCTAACTGACTTGCCAAAACTATAGTTTGTTAACAAGAAATGTGTGGAGTGGTTGAGAAAATTAGTTTTAATGACTCCCACCTAAGTGTATGTAAACTTCCGACTTCAACTGTATATATATATATACATAAAAGTGATTAAAAAATAAGATTATTATGAATATTGCTAGCAACAACAGAATAAACACATTTTGATTTACATACCTACAGTAGAAAAAAGTAGAATATCTTATTTCAAATTACGTGAACAAAAAATTATAATATTGAGCAAATTACACTAATTGGAGTCAATTACACTCACTGGAGTATTTGACTGTATATCCTTGCCATTATCATTCACCTGAATGTTTTAGCTAACATATGATGGGGGTCCCTGGATTGCCGGTTTGCCTGGGAGGGGGTCCCTGGGCAAGAAAAGGTTGAAGACCACTGATCTAGGCAAAACTGATGCTTTATTAGTACTCCTTCTCTGAGACTGTGAATATGGGCCATGGACTGGTGTAGCACGGTTTTACATTTCTACAGAACATCCTGAACATCTTCTGATTAGACTCAGGCTGTATGCATCCTAAATAGCACCATATTCCCTGTAGAGTTCACTACTTTTGGACAGAGCCCTATGGGCCCTGGTCAAAAGTAGTGCAATACATAGGGAATAGGGTTCCATTTGGGACGCAACCAAAGACAGGGACAGTATAGGAAGCTGTAACTCACTGTGGAGGAGAGGTGAGCAGCAGCCTTGACATGAAGCAGCTCCTCATATATCACCTCCAGGTCCTCAGCACTACGCTGGCTGGGGCTGCAGAGAGGTTACAATACAGTCCCAGGTTATGACTAGAATAGGATGCTATATGATACGATAGGAGAGGAGAGCAGATAGAATACAATACAAGTGTTTTGTCCATCTGAGGATGGAAATTTCCCTTTGACTTGAAGAGTAAAACAAACTTGATACAAAACACACAGTATAATAAAATGGAACTCACCATTTACGTAAAATCATGGTCAAAAGAGCATCTGGACCAATCTGCAGTAATAACGACAAACCCTCCTGCAGCTCATCGTCTAATTGGTCCTTTTCATTAGTTGTGTGGTTCAGTGAGAGTTTCTCATTGGCTGTGTGATTCAGTGCTTTCTTCTCATTGGTCATGTTGTTCAGTCCAAACTCTGAATCCAGGAAGCGGTAAAATTGTGTGTCTTTGTCATGGAAGTTTAACTCCTGCTTCACTACATTGTGATGATAGGAAACATTGAGTTTGGTTACACTCACAGCAGGGAGTGGTTGATTCTTGAAAAAGTATCATATTTGATAATACATGATGATAATACATTCACTCTGATTAAAGTCTCTTACCATGAACAATGATTCCTTCATCCACCAGGACTTGCCACATGCCAACTGCCTGGCTCCTTGATTGGAAGCATTCGTTTAGCTTCATCAGCCAATCAACAAGCTCTTTCCCCGAACAACATTGTCTGTAAGCGAGAGAGTTAGATTTCTACAAGGAAACGATCTAGTATTTTAATTTCAGAAAGACAAACGCTCAAAGTAATAGTAGTATTTGCAATCATTGACAGGAGCAAGGCTCCATACCTGAAGGTCTTCAGGTGATGCTTTCTGTCTCTGATCAGGCCAGGGTTACGCTCTATCAAGACACTATACACCACCCTGGCTGCCTTCAGAATACGATCCGACAGAAACTACAAGGGGTGAGAGAGAGAGAGAGCGAGAGAGAGAGAAAGAGAAAGCTTATCAAATACTTGATACAGTCAAATGTAGGATATGTACAAATCAAAAGATAATTGGACAATGGACCACTTTCTCTGCCTATCATATGCACACAACCAACATGCCTTTACTTCTGCGTAATTTTCATGATGTGATAAAGACAGGAGATCATATAAATAAAGCGAAATATGAAATTTCACACAGAAGTTCTTGTTTATCAATAGACACAGTGACAACAGTGACCCACTGTGTAGACTTAGCATGCAGGCAGGAGCTAGAATGAAAAGTGAAAAGCAAGTGGCAGCGGCAGAAAACATATATTCTGTGAGAAGCATTACAAAAACCATGTGTGATGTCACATACGTCACTTGTGTGAGTGGAGTGTTTTGCTTTGCAGGGGCAAGAGTCCCTAATTGTGTGTGTGGGAGGAAAGCTGGTGAGAACGTGTTATAGAGAGAGTTACTGCACTGCTAAACTCTCCCACACCACACACCTAACTGTCTCCTCATCAGAGAGTGAGTGGATGTCACTTGGCTACACTTTGCCTCCTCTCAGCTTCTCCCAGTAGTATCATTTCTAATACACCTCATTTTTTCCATTCCTTCCCCCCTCCTATCTCGCTCCTCTCTGCCATGCTCTACCACCCAAACAGAATATGAAAAAAAAACTAGAGTGTAAAAACTGCATCAACCACTGATGCAGACCAAAGCTTATGTAACTCACAACACATTGGGTCTGTTGCTATGCAGCCTATTTCCTACCATTTCCTGTTTATACGCAACCTCCGTGACAAAACCAATATTACAAACTACTACATATCAATATTTACTGGATTTGTTAATGAACTAGAATGCCTTTTTTGTTTTTACTCCCTTCCACTCAATAGTTTCTTGCTCCTAGTCTTGTGATTCCACGAGGGACTCACACAGTTGCTTGTTTGTTATTGGGCTTCCTTTAGGGTGCTGTTTGTCCAAGGTGGTGGTCTTGAGATTCAGATGGAATTTAACAAAGACCATTTCCTTTAGCTTTTGTCTCCACTTGGCTTGGTGTTGTGGTGGACAGTGCTTTCCTTCCCTCCCCTCCTCTCCCAAAAGCCTGGCCCCTAGCCAGGCCTCAGCCCTTAGCCTGCTCTGGCTGGTGTTGTGGTGGATGGGGCTGCCTGTGAGGCCCTCTCCCCTCTCTCTCCTGTCCCCAAACCCGGCCCCTAGCCTGCCCTGGCCAATGGCTCTGGCTCCAAGCCACTCAGATGAAATTATTGGCTCCTGACCCGTGACTGATCTGCCGACTCCGGCCTCTGCGAAGACAACACAACCTGACAGAACCTGGGGTTCTCATACATTTTTCAGAACCATGTACAAAGCAACGGGGAAACCTGCATGCTAGTTTAAAGTTCACAGAGACACACCTGCTGTGTGAGAAGTTAACTGAGGGGTCCCCCAAACCCACCATCTCTCCCCCTTCATCCACCTGTTTTCCCACAGGCGGTTCTGCTCCCAGACCTAGTGTCTACAGACGGTATGCATCATTCTGAACCTTTCATCCTCTCCACTGGCATCTGCTGTGGAGAGGGGACTGCAGACTGGTCCCAGGGGACCGCAGACTGGCTGTACTGGCTGGAGGTCACCACTATTCCCATGTGCCCTGACTGTTCCCGTGGGACCACTAGCTATCACCATGTTCTCAGCCTGGTCATATCTGACCTCTGACACTGTGATAATAATCTCCAAATGCATAAATCCCCCATCATCATTGCAGCCAGGCTGGCATTTCTACTGTGACTTTGTTCAGTTTGCTATCTTAAACACATTTTCTTAAAACAACAGACCAAAACAGAATGTTTCATACAGTACATCCTGGGTACAGCATGCCACCTACTAAACTTGATCATTGTCAGCAAGTAGCTAAACACACAGGACATAATCACTCATCATCAATCTGTTCGGTTCTGTATATACTGTAAGACCAAAAACTCTAAAACTCTGTGAACTCTGTGATGAACAACTTGACATACACTATCACTGCCTTCCTTTTTGTCTGCCCATTGAGAACATGTACAGTACCAGTCAAAAGTTTGGACACACCTACTCATTCAAGGGTTTTTCTTTATTTTTACTATTTTCTACATTGTAGAATAATAGTGAAGACATCAAAACTATGAAATAGCACATATGAAATCATGTAGTAACCAAAGAAGTGTTAAACAAATCAAAATATATTTTATATTTGAGATTCTTCGATGTAGCCATCCTTTGTCTTGATGACAGCTTTGCACACTCTTGGCATTCTCTCAACCAGCTTCACCTGGAATGCTTTTCCAACTGTCTTGAAGGAGTTCCCACATATGCTGAGCACATGTTGGCTGCTATTCCTTCACTCTGCGGTCCAACTCATCCCAAACCAACTCAATTGGGTTGTGGTCGGGTGATTGTGGAGGCCAGGTCATCTGATGCAGCACTCCATCACTCTCCTTCTTGGTCAAATAGCCCTTACACAGACTGGGGGTGTGTTTTGGGTCATTGTCCTGTTGAAAAACAAATGATAGTCCCACTAAGCGCAAACCAGATGGGATGGCGTATCACTACAGAATGCTGTGGTAGCCATGCTGGTTAAGTGTGCCTTGAATTCTAAATAAATCACAGACAGTATCACCAGCAAAGCACCCCCACACCATCACACCTCCTCCTCCATGCTTCACGGTGGGAACCACACATGCGGAGATCATCCGTTCACCTACTCTGCATCTCACAAAGACACAGCAGTTGGAACCAGAAATTTCAAATTTGGACTCATCAGACCAAAGGACACATTTCCAGCGGCATAATGTCCTTTGCTCATATTTCTTGGCCCAAGCAAGTCTCTTCTTCTTATTGGTGTCCTTTAGTAGTGGTTTCTTTGCAGCAATTCGACCATGAAGGCCTGATTCACACAGTCTCCTCTGAACAGTTGATGTTGAGATGTGTCTGTTACTTGAACTCTGTGAAGTATTTATTTGGGCTGCAATTTCTGAGGCTGGTAACTCTAATGAACATATCCTCTGCAGCAGAGGTAACTCTGGGTCTTCATTTCCTGTGGCGGTCCTCATGAGAGACAGTTTCATCATAGCGCTTGATGGTTTTTGCGACCGCACTTGAAGAAACTTTGTTTTGAAAGTTATTGACATTTTCCTGATTGACTGACCTTCTTACATTTTTGACATTTTTGTCATTTAGCAGACGCTCTTATCCAGAGCGACTTACAGTAGTGAGCTCTTACATTTTCATACTTTTTTCGTACTGGTCCCCCGTACTTGTCTTAAAGTAATGATGAACTGTCATTTCTCTTTGCTTATTTGAGCTGTTCTTGCCATAATATGTACTTGGTCTTTTACCAAATAGGGCTATCTACTGTATACCACCCCTACCTTGTCACAACACAACTGATTGGCTCAAACGCATTAAGAAGGAAAGAAATTCCACAAATGAACTTTTAACAAGGCACACCTGTTATTAAAATGCATTCCAGATGACTACCTCATGACGCTGGTTGAGGGAATGCCAAGAGTGTGCAAAGCTGTCATCAAGGCAAAGGGTGGCTACTTTGAAGAATCTCAAATATAAAATATATTTTGATTTGTTTAACACTTTTTGGGTTACTACATCATTCCATATGTGTTATTTCATAGTTTTGATGTCTTCACTATTATTCTACAATGTAGAGAATAGTAAAAATAAAGAAAAACCCTTGAATGAGTAGGTGTGTCCAAACCTTTAACTGGTACTGTCATCTAAACATGTCATCTAGGGCAGTGGTTTTCAACGGGTGTGCCGTGGCAAAACTTTCCCTAATCTTGATTATTTTTTGGAACACACTTATAAACAGGACCTGTGAAATGCACATGGAATTTTGACTTGGGCACACCAGTGCCACTCAGATAAATACATTGTTTATCATATATCCTGATGCCTAGTCCCCTATACATGTCTACCTCTATCACTATGGACTATACTCAATGTGTTAGTATAGGCAGAAGGAGCTCCCTGATTTTTCCAAATGCATGCATCAGGTTACAGAGTAAACAGTTTTCCCTCAAGTGTGCCAGTGCTGGTGAATGGCATACTGTATGTCTCTTTCTCACACTGCTCTCTCTGACGTTTCAGGTCCGGAACAGGTTGACTATGTACTTTAGATAAACATTATTGACACACTTTCTTATGGCGACCAAGTCAAAGTCTGCCTTTGAATGTTATGTCTGTGTTTGAATGGTGTAGTATCACAAAAGGAACATATGGGCCTGTTAAAATGGTTTGTATATTTGTGGGTGGGTTGGTTTGTCTCTGACAATAACTAATGTGGTCTGTGGTTATGGCCTTTCCTCCCAGACTTTATTTCATTTTATAACTACACTTGAATAAAGTCACTTCATTACCTTCATTCTCTGGCTCAGTGAGAGTAACTGTTTCAATCACTGAGTGTGATGTGTGGGTTTACTATACTTGTGTCTGTGTTAAATAGTGTAAAGTTTCCACTAGTTTTGAAAGTTTCCTCTGTGGGCGAGTCTACAGTCTCCCTCTGTGCTGTGACCTTGGTGGGCTTTGTTCTCTCCTCTTCTGTTCTCTCTGGAACATGACTGTACCTGGAGTGAGGGATGGAGCAACACACAGAGGAGCTGTAGGAACTGCATCTCACATCCAACTCTCTATACAGACAAGACAACGTCAGACTTTCTAAGGGGTTATTGTTTCCAACAAGTAGACTTCCTCCCCCACTTCAGAAATAGCAAGTTACAGCACTGGATAATTTTTTTCTTTATTCAAAACACGAAGTGCCAATTTAGGTAAAAAGACCTGACGGCATTGACGAGAAGTTTATCTTACCTGTGTGAATATACGTATCACCAAACCCCAAACAGCCTTTTTCAAAAATGGATTAAATTGTTATTTCTCCTCATCAATCTACACACAATACCCCATAATGACAAAGCCAAAAAAGGTTTTTAGAATCTTTTGCAAATGTAAAAAAAAAAAATATATATATATATCACATTTACGTAAGTATTCAGACCCTTTAGTCAGTACTTTGTTGAAGTACCTTTGGCAATGATTACAGCTTCAAGTCTTCTTGGGTATGATGCTACAAGCTTGGCACACCTGTATTTGGGGAGTTTCTCCCATTCTTCTTTGCAGATCCTCTCAAGCTCGGTCAGGTTGGATGGGGAGCGTTGCTGCACAGCTATTTTCAGGTCTCTCCAGAGATGTTCGATCGGGTTCAAGTCCAGGCTCTGGCTGGGCCACTCAAGGACATTCAGAGACTTGTCCCGAAGCCACTCCTACGTTGTCTTGGCTATGTGCTTAGGGTCGTTGTCCTGTTGGAAGGGGAACCTTCGCTCCAGTCTGAGGTCCTGAGCACTCTGGAGCAGGTTTCATCAAGGATCTCTTTGTACTTTGCGCCATTCATCTTTCCCTCGATCCTGACTAGTCTCCCAGTCCCTGCCGCTGAAAAACATCCCCACAGCATGATGCTGCCACCACCATGCATCACCATAGGGATGGTGCCAGGTTTCCTCCAGACGTGATGCTTGGCATTCAGGCCAAAGAGTTCAATCTTGGTTTCATCCGACCAGAGAATCTTGTTTCTCATGGTCTGAGAGTCCTTTAGGTGCCTTTTGGCAAACTCCAAGCGGGCTGTCATGTACCTTTTACTGAGGAGTGGCTTCCATCTGGCCACTCTACCATAAAGACCTGATTGGTAGAGTGCTGCAGAGATGGTTGTCATTCTGGAAGGTTCTCCCATCTACACAGAGGAACTCTAGAGTTCTGTCAGAGTAACCATCGGGTTTATGGTCACCTCCCTGACCAAGGACCTTCTCCCCCGATTGCTCAGTTTGGTCTGGCGGCCAGCTATAGGAAGAGTCTTGGTGGTTCATAACTTCTTCCATTTAAGAATGATGGAGGCCACTGTGTTCTTGGGGACCTTCAATGCTGCAGAAATGTTTAAGTACCCTTCCCCAAATCTGTGCCTCGACACAATCCTGTCTCGGAGCTCTACGGACAATTCCTTCGACCTCATGGCTTGGTTTTTGCTCTGACATGCACTGTCAACTGTGGGACCTTATATCGACAGGTGTGTCCCTTTCCAAATCATGTCCAATCAATTGATTTACCACAGGTGGAATCCAATCAAGTTGTAGAAACATCTCAAGGATGATCAATGGAAACAGGATGCACCGGAGCTCAATTTAGAGTTTCATAGCAAAGGGTCTGAATACTTATGTAAATACATTTTTTTTTTTTTTTTTTTTTTTTTAATACATTTGCAAACATTTCTAAAAACCTGTTTTTGCTTTAACATTATGGGGTATTGTGTGTAGATAGATGGGGGGGGAAAATAATTTAATCAATTTTAGAATAAGGCTATAACATAACAAAATGTGGAAAAAGTCAAGGGGTCTGAATACTTTACGCACTGTATATTTCCTCGCCATCAACATTTGAAAATAAATAGTCCTCTAGCCATCGATTTTGACATTTTCGATGCTCCCTGACTCTCTAGCTTTAGTTTGGATGACTGTTAGCAAGCTGGACAGAGTGAAGAGATAAAATTAGGTCAATTATAATTTTTACAGTTTCTATTTGGTTTTAGTCATTTCAATGTCAATTAAGATTGTTTCCCCCCGCTTCCAAAAAATGTCAAACTAAAAAAACATTATTTAAAAAAAAAACTCAAACCACCCTTGGGCCAGATTGAATCGGCTCGCAGGCCTTGAGTTTGACACGTGCTCTAAACACATAAAAAACAAGAACAACAACTAGCAACCAAACAAAGCACCATAAGAACAACAACTAGCAACCAAACAAAGCACCATCACCGCCATGATGTTACGAAGAACAAGCCTGGAACTAACAAAGCCAACCTCCCTGTAGCCTCGCTACTGTTCTCCCATTAGCTACAAGGCCTGCATCCTCTCTCCCCTTTCCTAAATACACACAGCACTCACACAGTAAAGCCCTTGGGAAGTTAGGAACATTCCAAGGCTGACTGGATATTTATTAAAGATACTCCCTACATGTTAAGTGCAGAACAAAACATAGACCTGAACTCAACGTTAATGTTGTATAGGCCTAGTTACTGGCATTGATCTTCTACTGTGTTTTCATTGTTCCTGCAGCAGAAGACAACACTGTTCCACAGTTTTTATTCCTGGAGATTCTGGATGCATCAAAGCAAGACTGGCTGTGTGTGTGTGTGTCTGTGTGTGCGCGTGCGAGTGTGTGTGTGTGTCTGCCTGACTGTGTGTATGTATATTGGGCAAAATAATGCCAGTCAGGAATGGGTCTGTCTTTCCATTTCAACTCCGTTATCAGGCTATTTTCTCCTGTGAGGGGGCTGTTGAAGGAGCAGTTAGATAAAGGAGTGAGAGGGTTGGGTCTGATCTGGTCAGGCAGGGGGGTAGTGGGGGCCGGAAAGAGGGGGGGGGGGGGGGGGGGGGCAGTTAGCTAGCTGTGGATCTTGGAGTGTCCTTTAGACTCCTTGTGACTGCTGTGCTCGCCTGGATTGGAATGTGTTTTTAAAGACTCCACTGCTCAAGCAGTGATGGAGGTTATTAGGAACCCAAAAAGAACAGGCTCAGCAGTTACAGAGGATGCCAACGCTGCAACAACAAAGGCTGGCGCAGTGCCTAAAAGTGCCAAGGAAAAACAGTTAGCTGGAAATACAGCCTGAAGGCCATGTCCGATGTCAACAGGTTGTGGTTGACATTTAACTGAGATGACTAAAATCGTTGTAGAATGTCATTATGCTCATACATTGGATCATCATATTGAGGCAAACTGTATGTTGAAGGTCTTGGGAGTCTTAGAATTTCACATGGCACACTGTAGGAAATGTGGGGCGTTATATGATGTAATATTACATAAATGAATAACGACAAATGTTTAACCCTAAGTACGTATAGCTTCAAGAGTACTATATTTACTTACTTGAACTTCCATTCACCATTTCTACTATGCTGAAGTGGTGTTTCTATGGTGTAACAGATGATTTGAGGGTGAGGTCAAAATGGCCAACATAAAGATTGTGATTCATCAGAAGATTAATCAGAAGCCAGAGCAGATTGATTAAGGTCTAAGACTAGCTGTAGGGATGTGAAGTACTACTGTACTGTGTGTTTGTGTGTGTCAGGGTTGGGCTCAATTAGAATTGAAGTCAGTCAATTCACAAAGTAAACTAAAATAATATAATATAAAAATGTCATTCAAACTGAGCCCAACCCTGGTGTGTGTGTGGCACTGTCCCTGACTGGCATACTACGTACCTGCTTAATGATGTCCTGTGTGTCAATGGCCTCTGGCAGTGGGGTCTATGGGAAAGCGGGAGAGAAATAAACATCATCTACTATTACATAATTTCACTATTCCATCATAGAGGTTCACATCCAGTTCAGAAGGCCTATAATATCAATGCATTGCTGAATAAAAAAGCCTATTATATATTATGGCTTCCTCTCATAGGCATTCCAACAGAACTGGCTAAACTGGTTGTTCTCAGAAACCATTGGGTGGGACCAGAAAGATAGATTAAATCCGAAATATTCTAATGTCTAATGAGATACATACTATTGTGTTCAGTTTGTTTTCAGTTAGGTTTTTCTATATGTCTACTGGTTAAGGCAATATATGTCCTAAACCAGATGATATATGGGCAAACCCTCCTCTCAACTCATCAACACTATCCTGTAGCCTAATTCCTACTTCCTCTTTTGTTGTTTTATAACTCTTATTTTATGATTCACTGACAGCCTTGTGTTCCCAAGCCAGCTGTTAAGTTGCATGACATGGATGGACTCTGCTGGCTGAGGTGTCAGAGGAGTACACAGTCATTTACAAGGGCTTTGTTTCAGGCCATTCTCTCCTGTATCTTTCCAGGTCTTGTTAACTGGTGAGTGCTTAGTGCCTTGCCTTGAGGGCCACTCAGAAGAAAATAGATTATATAAGCTACAGGCCCCACGTTTTCACTGGGTCGCGGTGTGGGATCGCCAGCTCAATTGCTGAGAAATAGAAATATGGAAAGTGACGAAGATATTGTCATCTCTTCTCTCCTTGTGTGGGAGCGTTATTGATGCCCTTGGGTATCAAATGCAGCTAGAATAAAAATGTTTGAACAGATCATTTTTCCCTCAGCTCCATTTGCAGTCAAGAAAAGAATGAAGTATTCGTCTTCTATCCCCTTTTCTTATTATTGTACTAGATTGTGTTTCTTCTCTTAGTTCAGGTGTACAATGGCTCCTAGCGTGGAGACCTCTCCACCCTTCCTTTCTGTTGACAGAGTAAACTGTGCTGGTCTGTCCTACTGCCAACACTGTCACATGATCCCAACCAAGGGACTGCATATTGCCCTTTTCAGCTGTTAGCCAACTCTATAAAATAGACTTAAGTCTCTCTCATATGTTTTGTCGCTCATGCTCTCTCTCTGCCATGCTCAGAGCAGCAAAACCTTGGCTGATGTAGCATCACACAGACATACCTGTAGGCTATAGTGACTTTGTTTATTTTCCTTGGAGAAGCCCTTGCATCTTAGAAAACAACTCAAGGAAACAAAGTTGAAGGGCTGGCAGCAGTATGGGGCATGCAGTGGAAAATACCAGATGCCATGTCCTGTCCCTCTAGTCAAGAAGTGCCCTTCTTGCTACGTACCTCTCATTATGAGGACCTCTATGAATCTGAGGCATTTTGTCCTGTTTATCTCCAGGAGTCACCACCACCCCAGCACTGGTATGCATTGCAATAAGCAGGTACACTGGGGTACAGAACTTATTAGTATCTATTAATTATAGAAAAATGACTCTGTCTGCATTGCTACTAGTGGTGGTATCTGACCACACATGTCATGTTTGTCTTAATTAACTAGAGTTAGCTGGCGCCCAGTGTGAAGCCAGTTTAATTGGGTCTAATGTTGTTGCATGCCGCCTCTGCATTCCAGAAACATCATCAAACAGACACAAGGATGATGTGAAGCCACAGATGCTTTAGGAATAATGATGTTTTGCCTGATCATCTAAGGCATGGAGCATTGTACTATGGTTCTAATAAGGCCAACTGAACTCAATCTCCATTCTAAGCCTATTATTTTATATTTCCGTGTCTTACTGTATTATCAATGTAATAAGTGTATTTACCACAGGAGGCTGCTGAGGGGAGAACGGCTCATAATAATGGCCGGAACAGAGCAAATGGAATGGCATCAAACACGTGGAAACCATGTTTGATTTATTTGATACCATTCCACTAATTCCACTCCTGCCATTACCACGAGCCCGTTCTCCCCAATTAAGGTGCCATCAACTATAGGCTACTTGAGGACAAACAACATACACATAAACAAATAAACAAACTCACTTTACATACTGATATTTAGAAACTTTACTAAACCATCTTTATTTTTTAGTTCTTTGGATTCTTTTATCGCTCATACAGCCAATCCAGTTGATACTTGTGAACACAAGATCAGGGTAGTAAGTAATATTTCCATTGACATACTTTTTTTAATGGACTGTCTACTGACAGACGGCACCTTTGCTTGCTAAGTTGTTATTGATCATATACAAGACCTATGCCTTTTTAGAGTCAGGTCGTCACAGATTCAGCTAACCACAAAGTATTTCGATTAATAACTCTAGATTTGTATAATCCTGATCTATTCAATAACAAAGTCAAAGCCAAATTTAGATCTTTCTTGAGGAGCACTATTCTGAATCTTCCTGTGGCTGGGGGAAAATAGACATTATCGTCTACCCTGTAAACTGAATGGGGAGATCGAGGTGAACAATAAACAATGCACTATAAATAACACAAGTAATAAAAAAAAACACTTTGGCTGGGTCTCTGCTACCTTCCTCTCCTCTACCCAGCACCCATGCTCAAGACAATAGAGTATTCCTCGACTCAGTCTAAGCATTCTCCCCATGCTCACATGCAACGCAAGAAGCTGCTTTTGTTTTGGGGACACATACAGACTGTGTCACAGTGGATGTGGTGAGCCTTCTCCCCCCACTACTTCTTCCACCAACACAGTGTCTGACTCCACAGCCCAATTCATACTACACCTCTGCAGTGCACACCACCCACACATCTCACCACACAGACACTAATACAGTAGCACAATCACATACAATGACATAAGCTCTTATGCTGAAGTGTTGCAGTGTTTTCAAGTGTGACCCCCTCTTCCCCCCTCTTGTAGTGTTTATAGTAACTGATCAGTGAAGTGTGCAGTGTGTTCGAAAGGTAAAAAGACAGAGCATGACTGTGACATGTGTACAGCTACAGTCAGACTTTCTGTAGAGATTGTTCTACCTCCCACCACCTTATTTTCATCAAGTACTGTGGAGCTGCATTACTACCTCAAAACATGTCCACATGACAGGCTATATCATTTATTGAAGGCCTTTTTTGCTGGGAAAACAATGTATCAAACTGCCATGGGTGGGAATATTTGGAGCATATTTTCAGTCATAGTCACACTTTACTTTCTGAAAAAATAAAAAGTTGTTTTTATGAAGAATTATATTAGGACCCATGAGCACTCGCTATCATCATCATCATCATCATCAATATCATCAGACCATCTCAAAGCTAAACAATAAGCACAAGGCAAAGACATGATGTTGCAGATAATGATGATGATAAGTAGCCTAGTGATGATGATTATCATTATTACAATATTAGTATACTATTAGCTATTAACTGTAGGTATACTATTCTAGGCAAGAATAATAACATACCCAACTGATGCCTCGAATGGTCGATGTTTCCACAGAATAATGATCCGGGAAAATTCGATAATTGTAACTCCGGAACAGATGCATATTTTTTCAAGTCAAACAGAACAACTTTCACCGTAAGTGGATCTGAGGTAATAACGCATGTCGAAGACCGGGGCACCAAGCATGTCTGTCCACCCGTTACAAAGACCGGACTCACATTACAACAACATAGCATACCGACAGTGGACATTGCATGGCCAGTTGAATCGCCACATGTTACTCTTGTGTCACCAAAGCCACAAGTCTATATTATTTGTATCCAACCTGACTGTTAGGCTACCGTGCCTACATCAAAACTCAACCCAGCTGTCTCTGCCTCGCACGACGTTGCTGGCTGCTGCCTCTGCTCTGCGGAGACTCCAACCCACTTTCAATCAGCCTCAGCTCTATCTCAGCACAGGCGCATGATTGTCGCTTTGCGTGAGCGCACTTGCTCTCAAATGAGTCCCCGCTGCTTGTCAAGTGATTTCCGAGACATTAAAATCGGCGGCCTCTTCAGAAGGATCTGATTCTCTATTCACTGCAACAAATTGCCTTTTTTTGTTGTTGTTCCCAACATTCAGTTGCGATTAGACTTTTGGGAGTCATTCCCATGGCTGTTCTAAACTTTTTGTATAGCCTACTTCTGTAGGCCTATCCCACCCGGCAAAAACTATACAGTTGAATCAACGCTGTTTGTTTCCACGTCATTTCAACCAAAAAAATGCAATGTGATGACGTTAAATTAACGTCGTAAACTGATTGGATTTGCAAAAAATCATCAACTTAAACGGAATTTCGTCTTTTTTTCACCCAATTTTTCACCTAAATCCAATTACAGAATGAAATGTTGGGTTGATTTCACATTGAATTCACGTTAGTTGACAACTTAACCAAATGTAAATCAGAACTAGATGATGAACTGACGTATGTGCCCAGTTGGATGTGTCACAAATATATTTATTTTTCTAACATTTTGTAGGGCAGTCCTATCTGATTCCAAAACACACCACAATATGTTGAGTCGGAGCTCCAGCAGCTCCAGCACTCTGTGTTTCACCTGAGTTTGATAGATGAGATTAAGTCAACGATAAGTATATCAAATAGAAGTGGTCATAATGTTCCAGGCCAGTACTGTGGGCAGGCTACAATACGACCCTGTCCAGATAGCAGCACCTGTACATCAGGAGTTACAGGTGCAAAAACACTTTGATCAGAGTTAGAGGTACACACTAAAAACACATGGTTCTGTATAGCTCCAAATAAGGGTTATTTGGCTTGTAACCATAGCGGAACCCTCTTTGGTGCTATGTGGAACCTTTTTTAAAGGTTCTATAAAGAATCATGCTCATAAGGTTCTAAATGGAACCTCTATGGTGCTAAAAATAACAATTTCCTAAGGTTCTATAAAGAATCATAAAAAAAGGTTCTATGTAGTGTAAAAAAGGGTTCCGCTATGGTTACAACACTAAAACATGTCCTGTAAAATGTACAGTAACTTACTGGCAGTAATTGGCCAGTAAATTACTGTAATTTAATTTACAGTACAGCTACTGTAATCCATTTTACGGTACCACAAATGTTACTGAAATTTAATTTACAGTACCAAGTCAGTTACTGTAATCTAATTTATAGTACCAATTACAATTACAGCATATTACTGTAATTACCCAGTGACATATTACCCAATGCTCTTTGCAAGTTTTCATTTTCACATTTACCTTTACATTTGGTCATTTAGCGGGTGCTTTTGTCCTTAGCAACTTACAGTCGGTGCATTCAACCACGGTTGATAAATAAAACACATATTACAGTCGTAGCAAGTAAAACTTTTATGTAACCGTTACTGAAAATGTTGTTGTAGTTAAGGATATTGGTCTTCAAAATAATTGTAATTACAACAAGGTATCTTATGATATACAGTGGGGAAAAAAAGTATTTAGTCAGCCACCAATTGTGCAAGTTCTCCCGCTTAAAAAGATGTGAGAGGCCTGTAATTTTCATCATAGGTACACGTCAACTATGACAGACAAAATGAGATTTTTTTTCTCCAGAAAATCACATTGTAGGATTTTTAATGAATTTATTTGCAAATTATGGTGGAAAATAAGTATTTGGTCAATGACAAAAGTTTCTCAATACTTTGTTATATACCCTTTGTTGGCAATGACACAGGTCAAACGTTTTCTGTAAGTCTTCACAAGGTTTTCACACACTGTTGCTGGTATTTTGGCCCATTCCTCCATGCAGATCTCCTCTAGAGCAGTGATGTTTTGGGGCTGTTGCTGGGCAACACAGACTTTCAACTCCCTCCAAATATTTTCTATGGGGTTGAGATCTGGAGACTGGCTAGGCCACTCCAGGACCTTGAAATGCTTCTTACGAAGCCACTCCTTCGTTGCCCGGGCGGTGTGTTTGGGATCATTGTCATGCTGAAAGACCCAGCCACGTTTCATCTTCAATGCCCTTGCTGATGGAAGGAGGTTTTCACTCAAAATCTCACGATACATGGCCCCATTCATTCTTTCCTTTACACGGATCAGTCGTCCTGGTCCCTTTGCAAGCCCCAAAGCATGATGTTTCCACCCCCATGTTTCACAGTAGGAATGGTGTTCTTTGGATGCAACTCAGCATTCTTTGTCCTCCAAACACGACGAGTTGAGTTTTTACCAAAAAGTTCTATTTTGGTTTCATCTGACCATATGACATTCTCCCAATCCTCTTCTGGATCATCCAAATGCACTCTAGCAAACTTCAGACGGGCCTGGACATGTACTGGCTTAAGCAGGGGGACACGTCTGGCACTGCAGGATTTGAGTCCCTGGCGGCGTAGTGTGTTACTGATGGTAGGCTTTGTTACTTTGGTCCCAGCTCTCTGCAGGTCATTCACTAGGTCCCCCCGTGTGGTTCTGGGATTTTTGCTCACCGTTCTTGTGATCATTTTGACCCCACGGGGTGAGATCTTGCGTGGAACCCCAGATCGAGGGAGATTATCAGTGGTCTTGTATGTCTTCCATTTCCTAATAATTGCTCCCACAGTTGATTTCTTCAAACCAAGCTGCTTACCTATTGCAGATTCAGTCTTCCCAGCCTGGTGCAGGTCTACAATTTTGTTTCTGGTGTCCTTTAACAGCTCTTTGGTCTTGGCCATAGTGGAGTTTGGAGTGTGACTGTTTGAGGTTGTGGACAGGTGTCTTTTATACTGATAACAAGTTCAAACAGGTGCCATTAATACAGGTAACGAGTGGAGGACAAAGAAGCCTCTTAAAGAAGAAGTTACAGGTCTGTGAGAGCCAGAAATCTTGCTTGTTTGTAGGTGACCAAATACTTATTTTCCACCATAATTTGCAAATAAATTCATTAAAAATCCTACAATGTGATTTTCTGGATTTTTTTTCTCAATTTGTTTGTCATAGTTGATGTGTACCTATGATGAAAATTACAGGCCTCTCTCATCTTTTTAACTTGCACAATTGGTGGCTGACTAAATACTTTTTCCCCCCACTGTAGCTCTGACTAGCTCTGATAGTGCCAATACCTTACTGAGATATTCACTGTACCTTGATACCAGCTTCCTCTAAATTACTATAATGTCAAAGCAATGACTAATAAACTGTAAGAAAGTAATTTACAGTATTTTACTGTAATTACAAGGGATTGGAGCATGCAGGTTGGCTGCTAGGCATCTGTATATTACAGAATATTAATAAATACTAGGTGTTTTATATCACTTTCCCTTCTAAAGGCTTAAAAACTGGTCATGATTGCAGGGCAAAACAGATCAAATGGACATGGTTAAATAGTCAACCATTAATGGTTTAAGACTCTCTTTCTTCTTTCTTCTTCTTCAGTGGGGTTTATCGGCGGTTGGCATCCAACGTTATGGTGCATTACCGCCACCTACTGTACTGGAGTATGGGCCAGAGACAGGGAGAAACTAAATCCTACCTGCCAGCCCCATTGCTCTTAAAAAAGATAACAAAATATTTGAGACTATATCTAATGACGTTCTACTCAATATACTCTTTAAACTAATTTCCTGTATCCCCTTCTCCCTCATACTAGATCTCATCCTCTCTCTTTCCCTCTGATATTGCCCACATTGTAGCAATACATGCTCCACTGTCTCTGTTTCCTGGCAATAATCACACTTTCCTGTTGGATGCTTTCCTATCACATTTAAGGTCTTATTCAACTGGCTGTGTCCCACCCTTAATCTTGTAAAAATAGCCTCCTCTCTTCTGTCCCTTCCTGCCGTCCTCCCCTCCCTGACTTTCCTCTGTACTTGAAATAAATGCATGCCCTTAGTATCTCTATTCCACTGCTCCTGCCATCTCTGCACCATCACTGTATATATCAGGCTTTTTCCCTCTGCCTTGCTCATTGAAACTACAACATCAACATCCCCACTACTAAGTGCTTGTTTAGTCAGTACATCTATTGCCTCGTTCCCCTCCACCCCCACATGGGCTGGGACCAGGGACGGCTTGTTCAATAGGGCGATATGGGCGACGCACTGCCAAACGGGAAAAGGAAGGGATTTTTTTTCTAATCAATTATATCACGGCAACAGCAGTTATCAGTGTTCACGTCTGATCTGCCAGCCACTAAATGTCAAATCAGGCTAAAGTCGTGCTTCAAATGGCCCCGCCCGTTTTTGGGGCGATTTCAGTCAAGTTGAAAATCGCCCAGAAGTCTCTCATAGCCTGTCATGTAAAATCTATTTTTTTCACATTTCAAAGCTTTCAATACATTCTCTATGGGTGTCTGTGGGCTTGCACTTACGCGCTTTCGTCATACGTGACGTAACGTTGAACGTAACTAAGACAATGGCGGCTAGAAGCGTCTCTGTTGCGACCTGCAGTGCGGCGTTATTTTATGTTTTTAATTTGTAGACTTAGTTTACAAACATTCTGCCAACCATGGATTTCCAGTGGTTGGTTTTGGACTGATCTTGTTGATCGTGTACATACCCGCTACGAACGGACTAAATAATGAAAACGCTGCTGGCAGCTGAATCCCAATACAGCTGGGAGACTTGGCTGGATGAGTCCCGGACAGAGAAGTGGAGCCGGCCACCTTCACCCTGGTCAGAGCGGACCGCGATCCTGGTAAGAGAGCGACTCTGTACCCCGACATTGAACTGCTTTCTGTGTCATTGCGACCTTACTATCAATTCAATTCAATTTAAGGGCTTTATTGGCATGGGAAACGTGTGTTAACATTGCCAAAGCAAGGGAAGTAGATAGTAAACAAAAGTGAAATAAACAATAAATATTAACAGTAAACATTACACTCAGAAGTTTCA